TCTAGGAAAGTAACAGCACTTTTGGAGCACAAGTTAACTCAACGGAAAAATTCACGCCAAAATGGCGAGCAGGGGCGCGCGGTCCGTTGCCTGCGCTGCCCCACCTCGGCTGGTGAAAAGGTAGGGATGTGCGAAAGGGATAGCGATATAGGGTAGAAAGAGACGCAAATACAACGGAAACGAATATGCCTATCTCATTATAATTTAAGCTTCTAATAACGGTCAAGTGGTTTAATAAATGATTATTATGATTATTACTTTTCGAAAAGTGGGGCAAAAAGTTCCCAATGTCATTTCAAGTACATTGTCTCTAAACTTTTTAGAAAAATTAAACTTCATCGCAATAACCCAATGATTCGCGCTATCACGAATTATGTGTATCCAAGTATTAGCGCCAATTAAAAGTACGCTTTTTAAAGTCTACTTGAAAAATATATTTTTTTAAATGTTTTTATTCGCATATACTTTGGTGCTTTTTGCATAGTTGCAATGACTTCGCTCCGCTGTCACCATGTTATTGAGATGTGTGTGGCCCAGTAGGTCTAGGATGCTCGCTGTTAAAGGTTTGAGAGGTATTTTATTGATAAGATAGCTATAAGCTCATATTTCACGTCTAAAATTATCAATAAGATTTTATCACGGTGTGCATCCTAACTTGACAGGCGTTAAATCAGAGTAAATACAAATGAGTAGGTCATCTTCATAGAAACGCGCACGCACACACTGACAACACCCCGCTAAATTTTGTCAGTGTGTGCGTGCGCGCCGCATACGTATTGGCGCGCTCACATCTCTCGATGACCTACTCATTTGTATTTACTCTGGTTAAATAGTGTTAAATTAGCTGCTACAGATGTGATATTTATCTTTTCAGAGGCTAGACTTGCGCGACAACCGAATAGGCGCTCTTGGGCTGCAAGCGATACTGACGGCGCTCCAGCGGAACACCGTCATCACACAGCTTGACCTGGCCGGCCCGGTGAGTGGCACATATCATCATCATCATCATTTCAGTCACATGCGTTTAGGCGCGATTGGTCCAATTCGCAATTGGTCCAATCGTGAAAAATTTACAAATTTGCGATTAGTCCAATTCGCTATTGGTCCAATTCGCTATTGGTCCAATTCGCGATTGGTCCAATTCGCGATTGGTCCAATTCGCGATTGGTCCAATTCGCTATTGGTCCAATTTGCGATTGGTCCAATTCGCGATTAGTCCAATTCGCGATTGGTCCAATTCACGTTTGGTCCAATTCGCGATTGGTCCAATTCGCGATTAGTCCAATTCGTGATTGGTCCAATTCGCTATTGGTCCAATTCGCGATTGGTCCAATTCACGATTGGTCCAATTCGCGATTAGTCCAATTCGTGATTGGTCCAATTCGCTTTTGGACCAATTCGCTTTTTTCTGCAATAGTAGTAAAAGTTGAATAATCTCCTTATTTTTTTCATTTTGGATATCCTTTTATTTGGGACCAATTACGAATCGGACCAATAGCGAATTGGACCAATCGCGAATTGGACTAATCGCGCCTAAACGAGTCACATGACGTCCACTGCTGGACAAAAGCCTCCTCCAAGGACTCCCAAATTGAAAGATTTCCAGATTGGCCGGTTGGTAGTGGCCAGCAATCAGCGCCTTCCTGCTACGGGACTATTCCCACCTCTCGTTCCCACCGCTGCAACTCCTGTGTAGCCAGGATCTACAGCTTGACCGCCAATAACCCAACCAGTGAAGGCCAAGTTTGTCCCGGGGGAAAGTTAAACTGTCATTGGACCCGCATCGAAATTAATCAAAAGAACATAGGTCAAAAGTCAAAGTTAAGGTTCGACTTCCCTACCTACCTTAATGATGTGGTCGCTCCACCTTATGGGTGGACGTCTCACACTACTTCTTCTGGCCCACAGTCGCTATTCGAGAACCTTGCTGTCGGCCATCAGTTCTGTATACAGGGTGTTAGGTAAATGGGTATATGAGCCGACACTAGCCCAACATTTTTTAATTTTCATACAAAATAAATTTTATAAAATCCGATTTTTTATGAAAATTAAAATAATTAAAATGAAAATATCAATTTTCTGACTTCACCATACCATTTATATGCCCATGTTAACATGTACGTGTACATGCACTTCTGTCAAAACTTTTGAAAAAAAAAACGTAGCGAGCCATTCCACTTCAGCTTGCTAACACAATTTTCTTGGTTTCCAGGACTCATCAACAACTCTATCAGCTGAGGACAGCGAGGCAGCGATAGTCGCGCGTTTAACGCGCGAGATACGCGCAGTTTGCAGTCGCAACGAGGCCGCCAGTGAACCTGCAAAACGCACGCATAGAAGAATTAGTCTTACGTGTCATACAGCTTGCGTGCCCAAGGTGAGTGTAAACACGAACAAGATCGTCATTTTGATTCGATTAAAATCGGTTCTTAATCGATAAAAATCGATTATTCATCGGTACCCGCCTATTAGCGAGCTTTGAACGACTGGAAACAATTCATAATCGATTTGACTCGATTCTTAATTAATAAAGGATCGATTCTTAGGCTATAAGGATCGGTAATTGATTCCTGTCAGCCACGACTCCTCTGTTAGCGAGCTTTAATCGATTGGAATCGATTCGTTGCATCCACGAGCCGCTCACATGCTAATCCAGACTATCGAGTGCTATCGATTTTTGATCGATTAGAATCGATTCTTTATCGATACGCTATCAACTGAAGACAGTGAGGAATCGATTCTCTTAGTCCACGAGCCACTCGCGAGCAAACCCAGACAATAGTGATATCGATTAGAATCGATTCTCTATCAACAACCCTATCAGCTGAGGACAGCGAGGTAGAGATTGTCGCGCGTTTAACGCGCGAGATACGCGCAGTTTGCAGTCGCAATGAAGCCGCCAGTGAACCCGCAAAACGCACGCATAGAAGAATTAGTCTTACGTGTCATACAGCTTGCGTGCCCAAGGTAAATTCGGTAATCGTTTTTTATCGATTCTTGATTGATAAAAAATCGATTCTTGATCGATAATCGACTCTTGTCATCCACGACGCACCTATCAGCGAGCTTAAATCGATTGGAATCGATTCTTATTCGATTAGAATCTATTATCTTCGTCCACCATGGCGCTTGCAACAGTGCCGAAATATCGGAAACTCAAAATTAAGGTACATGGTCTGGGTTCGAAATTATCAAGATAATTACGTTTCATGATAATTATTATCAACAGTATAAGATACATTTGATATCAAGTATAAGATACATGTATGTTGCTTTGTTTTTGGTTGCTGATTGTTGTCAACTTATCCATCGCTAGTCGCGTAAAGCTTGGAAAATAAATAAATATTTTGACGCTAGATAAGTAGTGATCATTATGGAGCTAAATAGATAGGTTTTGTAACTATCTATGTTGATTAACACCCACCACTAGACGCAAGTGCGGAAATACACGTTCGAAAACTTCGAATACGGTTCATTTTCACGAGCGTATATTTTTGTTATTATCAACCGATAATAGGGATGTTTCCTGGGTCAAAAAGCAAGAGTTTTAATAAGTCCGTCAGTTAACTTATCAAAAAATACTCTACACGTATTTGTCACTTTTTCAAACTAATGAAAATTTAAAAAGATAAAGCACGCCAAAGTTCATAAGAAGAGGCCCGTGATGTCAATGAGTGTGTTAACTAATTTTTATTTATTTAATTATAAATTTATAACCTTTATATACTGATATGATTTAGATTTATATATTTATTTATTTATATAGATAAATATATGTACCAACAATTAAAACAATATATTTTAAATATAACTTTTATTTCTCAATATCATAATATTACTAATTTTATAATTATAGGTAGAATAGGAATTATACTATAACGAGATATATACGTTTGTTTATATGAAAAACACTATTCAAACTTATTTTCAGAAATCACCATAATAATATACATAAAAATACAACGAGCAACAAAATAATAAAAAGTACAATAATTATTTACTTATCTCGGTTTACAGCAACAGCAAGTTGTTCGGGCAGAGCTTCCGCTCTGTCCGACCGCCAGTGGAGAAGTGTGTCCGTCGGCTTGAGCCGCTCCGCTTTTATAGAGAGTGGAGGGGGCACAAGTCGGCGGACGGAAGTCTTATTTCTATTATTTAAATTGAAACAAAGATTTTAATACAGACAATATTCATTACTAAATTGATTTTAAATATTAAAAACAACATTCTACGTAACCATAATAATTTTATATGACTTTATATAATTTTATTATCAAGACACGTGGTTCAAAGATTAAAACTGTTATGTTTCTTGATAATTTATAATAAATGTAACTAGTAAATGGAATCTTAATAAATATTAAAATATCTTATATTTAAAATTATTATAACAATTTATTCATTGTTTATTTATTGTTTGTAGAATAAACGGAAACGGAAATAATACTTCATATTGAATTGGTATTATTCTAACAGAAATAGTAATGTTTGACACATATTTTTGACCATAATCTATCAAGTGCATAAAAGTGCCGCACTTTGTGACGTCGCGCGGAACTTCAACGCACCATAACTATGTAATTATTTGTTAGATTGACAAATAAAAATATATGTGTCCAATATTTTTTGATATGAAACATGACGGGCTAAAAAATTTTTTTAGGAAACTAGCCTCCATCTGTTATTATCAAGATAATTATCATAATAATTGTCCTTTCGAACCCTCTACATGGTAGCAATCTCGTCAGTAATAATAATATAATAGACAGTTTGCCACCATACCCCAATAATTCGAAATCACAACTTTTTTAAAATGACCCTTAATTCTGGTCTTATAAACTTAATTAATGAGGGCTATCGTTTTTATACTTAACAGTTGGCACCCCTGGCGATTGACAGGACCTTACTCTACAGTGGCGCCATCTTGATGAGTGCAAATACGATAGTCCTCCTACCACTTTAGCGCTCACCAGTTGGTGCCACTGTCTTCGCTACTAGCAAGTGACAGGACCTTACTCTACAGTGGCGCTAACTGGTGAGCGCTAAAACGATAGCCCTCATTTTAAATTACCTGTAAATTACGATTTTTGTTCGCATTGTAATTGAAAAAAGTAGTTTGATTGAGTTGACAAAATAGTGACGTCACTTGCTTGTGGTGCCATACAAAATCTATGGGAGAGTTTCGTTTTGACAGATTTAAAAAGTACGTTAATTGATTGGTGGTGTCAACATGTCTATTAATGAATGGTGTTATTTGCCCTCAGCCGACGGCGGAGGAGGAGCGCCGGGGCCGGCTGCGCTCGCCCGCGCCCTCGCCCGCCGGAAGCCCCATACCAGCCGCGCACCACTCGCGGTTCTCGGTAAGACAGCGTCTACTATTATTACTTACATTAGGTACAATAAATTATGTTGTTTTGTAAAGTCCAGTCGCCGAGCACGTGCGACGCGCGCGACTGTGCGACGGGCGCCCGCAGTGAGTGTGCGAGCGCGATAGCAACATAATTACGCGCGAGCGATAAGGATGGGTAGCTTGGGGTCATTGGACAAAGTTCTACGTGCTCACGGACCAGGCTTTACTATTATTACTTACTAAAGTCTGGTCGACGAGCACGTAGAATTTCGTCCAATGACCCCAAGCTACCCATCCTTATCGTGATTTTGAAGCGGCGCCCTCGCCCGCCGGAAGCCCTATACCAGCCGCGCACCACTCGCGCTTCTCGGTAAGACAGCGTCTACTATTATTACTTACTAAAGTCCGGTCGCAGAGCACGTAGAATTTCGTCCAATGACCCCCAGCTACCCATCCTCACGCGTAATTATATTGCTGTCGCGACTGTGCGACAGGCGCTCGCAGTAAGTGTGCGAGCGCCATACCAGCCGCCATACCATACCGTTTACTATTATTACTTACTAAAGTCCGGTCGCTCGCACACTCACTGCGGGCGCCCGTCGCACAGTCGCGACAGCAATACAATTACGCGCGAGCGATAAGGATGGGTAGCTTGGGGTCATTGGACGAAATTCTACGTGCTCGGCGACCGGACTATAAGCTATCCGTACCCGCCGCGCACTACTCGCGGTTCTCGGTAAGACAGCTTCTACTATTCATCATCATCATCATCATCATTTCAGCCGTAAGATGTCCACTGCTGAACATAGGCCTCCCCCAATGCTTTCCATGTTGATCGATTGGTAGCAGCCTGCGTCCAGCGCTTCCCTGCTACCTTTACGATGTCGTCGGTCCACCTTGTAGGTGGACGGGTGTTTACTATTATTACTTACTAAAGTCCGGTCGCCGAGCACGTAGAATTTCGTCCAATGACCCCAAGCTACCCATCTTTATCGTGATTTTGAAATACGTGCTCGGCGACCGGACTATAGCTTTCCGCCCGCGGCTTCGCCCGCCGGCAGCCCCATACCAGCCGCGCACCACTCGCGGTTCTCGGTAAGACAACGTCTACTATCCTGGTCATCACAAAAATCGGCCCACCTACGTTTTACAGGAAAACTCGTTTAACTACTGACACAATCATGGTGCCCCAACAATATTGGTGTTATTTGAAAGCCCAATAAATATCCTTAAAGAAAAACACATTTAATTTCTTAATAAATTAATAACATAAACGCGATATACAATAAATGTGACTTGAAAAAGACCTCACTTTGGGCTCACCTCTGGGATCAATTAGACAAATTTTTATGGTTATAAAACCAAATAATGATCTCACGTGTCCTCTTTAACAGATGGATAGCGATTAATCCAACTTAACAGTTTTATAGCCATAAAAGTTGGGTCAAGCGTAACTACCTATTTTTTGAAGAAGTGACTCTGGATTCTTCTACAGACACATTTTTGGGGTAAAAACCTTTCCTTTCCTTTCCAATAAAGTTTAGAACTAGACTTTTAAATGGTGCCAATATTGATGGGAAGTGGGGATGCATACGTTTGAAAGTGCTTGTCGCGGAAGGGTCGATTTTTGTGATGACCAGTGTATTATTACTTACTAAAATCCGGTCGCCGAGCACGTAGAATTTCGTCCAATGACCCCAAGCTACCCATCCTTATCGTGATTTTGAAGCGGCGCCCTCGCCCGCCGGAAGCCCTATACCAGCGGCGCACCACTCGCGCTTCTCGGTAAGACAACGTCTACTATTATTACTTACTAAAGTCCGGTCTACTATTATTACTTACTAAAGTCCGGTCTACTATTATTACTTACTAAAGTCCGGTCGTCGAGCACGTAGAATTTCGTCCAATGACCCCCAGCTACCCATCCTCGCGCGTAATTATGTTGCTGTCGCGACTGTGCGACAGGCGCCCGCAGTGAGTGTGCGAGCGCCATACCAGCCGCGCACCACTCGCGCTTCTCGGTAAGACAACGTCTACTATTATTACTTACTAAAGTCCGGTCCTTACCAGATCGTCGGTCCACCTAGTAGGAGGCCTGCCCACGCTACGTCTTCCAGCCCGTGGTCGCCACTCGAGCACTTTCCTGCCCCAACGGCCATCGTCTCTACGAGCTATGTGCCCCGCCCACTGCCACTTGATTTTAGCAATTCTGCGAGCTATGTCGGGAAGAGCCTGGATGCGGGCAGCGCAGGACCGTTCATTGTGGAAAACCTTGGGGGAGGCCTTTGTCCAGCAGTGGACGTCATTTGGCTGAAAAAGAAAGTCCGGTCGCAGAGCACGTAGAATTTCGTCCAATGATCCCAAGCTACCTATCCTTATCGTGATTTTGAAGCGGCGCCCTCGCCCGCCGGAATCCCCATACCAGTCGCGCACCACTCGCGGTTCTCGGTAAGACAACGTTTACTATTATTACTTACTAAAGTCCGGTCGCAGAGCACGTAGAATTTCGTCCAATGACCCCAAGCTACCCATCCTTATCGTGATTTTGAAATTCTACGTGCTCGGCGACCGGACTATACCTTTCAGCCCGCGGCTTCGCCCGCCGGCAACCCCATACCACTCGCGCTTCTCGGTAAGACAGCGTTTACATTATCGTCATTCCAAACAAAGAACTTATTTTTGACATGACATTGACATATATGTTAAAATCCACCAATGCATTGCAGCATTTGGACCTCCCGTCTACGTATTGCCATCTGGCGGATTTTTCAATCGCGAAAACCCTCATTAGGCGGTCTTATCGCCTTAGGGATGTTATGGATATGTAGTTTCGGTTATGGATACGGTTATGGATATAGGAATAATATTATACCGGTTTCAGATATTTTTTTATTTCGGATATCCGAAAGTTTCGGTTACGGTTACGGATATCTATAACATCCCTGGTTTACATCATCGTCATTCCAAACAAAGAACGCTATCGCCTTTCAAACACAAAACAAAACGGACTACTGTAAAGTCCGGTCGCCGAGCAGGTTTCGTCCAATGACCCCAAGTTACCCATCCTTATCGCTCGCGTGTAATTATGTTGCTGTCGCGACTGTGCGACGAGCGCCCGCAGTGAGTATGCGAGCGCGAAAGCAACATAATTACGCGCGAGCGATAAGGATGGGTAGCTTGGGGTCATTGGACGAAATTCTACGTGCTCGGCGACCGGACTATAAGCTTTCCGCCCGCGCCCTCGCCCGCCGGCAGTCCCATAACCGCGGCGCACCACTCGCGGTTCTCGGTAAGACAGCTTCTACTATTCATCATCATCATCATCATTTCAGCCATAGGATGTCCACTGCTGAACATAGGCCTCCCCCAATGCTTTCCATGTTGATCGATTGGTAGCGGCCTGCGTCCAGCGCTTCCCTGCTACCTTTACGATGTCGTCGGTCCACCTTGTAGGTGGACGGGTGTTTACTATTATTACTTACTAAAGTCCGGTCGCCGAGCACGTAGAATTTCGTCCAATGACCCCAAGCTACCCATCCTTATCGCTCGCGCGTAATTATAATGCTGTCGCGACTGTGCGACGGGCGCCCGCAGTGAGTGCGAGCGCGACAGCAACATAATTACGCGCGAGCGATAAGGATGGGTAGCTTGGGGTCTTGTGACAAAATTCTACGTGCTCGGCGACCGGACTATAGCTTTCCGCCCGCGGCTGCGGCTTCGCCCGCCGGAAGCCCTATACCAGCCGCGCACCACTCGCGGTTCTCGGTAAGACAGCGTTTACTATTATTACTTACTAAAGTCCAGTCGCCGAGCACGTAGAATTTCGTCCAATGACCTCAAGCTACCCATCCTTATCGCTCGCGCGTAATTATGTTGCTGTCGCGCTCGCACACTCACTGCAGGCGGGCGCCCGTCGCACAGTCGCGACAGCTATGGATAGCTAGGGGTCATTCGACGGGATTCTACGTGCTTACGGACCAGGCTTTAATCGATATTGATTGCTTTTACCGAAAACACTGCAATCACTGAGTCAAAGACCTCTTTACCTCATAACATTGTTGTATACTTTGATAACCTGTAAATGTAACCTGTTACCACACCATAGTAGAATATGTATAATGATTTTTCGGCAACGGAATTCGCAACACAATTTTCTTTAAAAGTTGTAATTTATTGAATGGACAACACGCATAAGTTGTAATATTAAGTTAAATTATGACTTAATTTAAAGTTTAGATTACACACATTACACTAGTTTTTATTTCACCTCAATCCGTCCAGTATTACCGAAGATAGAGCCTCGAGAAGTTTACGGACCTTTTAAAATTTTCAAAAATTTCCAATATTCGCGCGTGACGTCACAACATGATTTTGCAGCCCCCGCACGTTAACCCATTTACCACTTTTTGTCATTTTCCAACTAAAATAAAATTTTACCTAACTGGCAACTGATGTTAGTTGTCATCGTTCAATCACATTTCAAACTAGGCACTAAAAAAGTAACCATTATTATGCCACATTTATGCACCTAAAAAAAAAATATATTTTTTGGAAAAATTACCAAGTTTGTGTCTGCTCAATAACAAGTAAATAGTCCAGTTATTTGTTAATTTTACTTGGAAAGTTTTCCGGAATTTTCGAAAATTGCTGAATAAATAGATTTCGCTATGTTCTTTCCGAATTTTGTGACCTCGTTAATAGCCGCGCGAGCGCCCGCCTTATTGAAAAAAATCCGCCTTAAAAAAGGTTTTTGACAACTACTTTTTTCATTTTATAATTTTTGGGACATAGACAAGCTTAGAAGCTTTGATAAATGTGATAAATTTAATGTACTGTAAGTTAAATAGATTTAGAGCTGTTGTGAAACAGTCAAATTAATGTACCTACCTGCTAAATTGCGAGTTCTTTTTTCTTTGATCATGGCAGGACACGCTGCCGGGTGTCCTAAATATGCTGAAGTATAAAGAAATTCGCGTTGCTGAAGTATACATTTTACAGGACTATTCATTATGAAAAACCTATGGAAAATCCAAAGGCCTCTTGCCTTTGTCCAGCAGTGGACGTAATTTGGCTGTAACGACGAAATAGGAAAGAATGTAACTATCAAAAATCTTCTCTAAGGCAGCATTTTTCCAATTTCGCAACGAGCGCGGCAATCACACTTAACTAACAGACTAACAGAGAGCATAGCGAAATCTATTTTAATCACCAATTTTCAAAACTCTCGGAACACTTTCCAGGTAACCACGTTAATTTGTATCAAACGACTTTACTATAATTTAATTGATATAAAAATTTGGGTACATCTTCTCAAAAACAAAAGAACTGGTGCTAAAAGGGTTAAGTGACGTTTTGACATTTGTAGAGGGCCTTGTAGAAGGGGAGGCTATGGTGCTGAATGTGGATTAACTCGAGTGTCATAGTAACTTATTAGACTGCTAAGCTTGATGATAAAAAGAAAAATATTTTATTCAATGTATTATTTATTAATCATAATCATTAATCGTTAATTTGATTATTTGATTAACTATCTACTATTTTCATAAGAAAAGGGTTGGGGGTGTATGAAAAGGTACCCGCGACTTATAAAATGTCTAGCAAAGGGGGGATCTGGAGTTGTACTGTCGTTTTCCCAAAAAACTGCGTCAATTTTCACTACTGAAAACACTTATCGCACTAGTTTTGTTTCTCACAATTCCTTCTATTCTTCCGGTATCCTCCAGCAAAATTGGGCCAGGAAAGAAGTTAAGCGGGCTGGCTGACGATAGGGGAGAAGTCCCCCCCCCAAGGTAGGGGCAAGCATGGGCAATTCAACAGAAAGGTGGGGTTGCTAAACTAGGAGGTTTTGGGTGTTGGTGAGGTGCAGGAGAGTTCGTACCAGAAGTTTCGGGGGGAGGGCCACGCGTGGGCAATTCAATAGAAGGGTGGGGTTGCTAAACTAGGAGGTTTTGCGTGTTGGGGAGGTGCAGGAGACTTCGTACCAGAAGTTTGGGGGGAGGGCCACGCGTGGGCAATTCAATAGAAGGGTGGGGTTGCTAAGCTAGGAGGTTTTGCGTGTTGGGGAGGNAATTTTTTGTAGTTTTTTTTGGCATCTTCAACAAAAATTGTGCGCCATGTCCATTACTTAATATTTTTTCAGGTAACCCGCGTGACGCCGGAGCGCGAGTCGTCTTCCGAGAGCCCGAGCACGCCCACCCGCCCCGCCTACTGCGCGGCCCCCTCGCGATTCAAAGTCGTCCAGGTAACACGTCATCATCATCATCACGACATTAAGAGCGTTTACGCCGTTTGGCGCAAAAACAGTACTTTTTCAACCCGTTACAATCATTAACCAGTTACATTACAAATATGTTATAGGCATAAATAATTAGGCAATTTCGTCGTCTAAATAGTTAGTTGAGAAAATATTTCGATTAGTATAGTATTTAAGAATTCTATCAAGATAAATCCACACAGGTTTTCAAATTTCCACTTTAGCGTCAGTTTACAAGCTGAACATTTTATAAAAATACTGTGAAAACGATATAACAAACATTTACATCCTATAGCATAGGTCCTTAGGCAAATAGTTAATTGAGAAAATTCTCAGATTTAAGCATTTTACAATAAGAAATCACAAATTCAAAGAACGCGAAATACCCAAAAATCAAAGTGATTTTTACACCATTTATTCTTCTTTAATTCAACATACAAATAGCTTAATATAATAAAGTAACATCTTCTTTAAAATATTTTACGATATATAATTCATTGTTATTGTTTTGCTATAAACATTTGAAAACTATTAAAAAACGCCGCGCGCGAATCATTTCCAATGATGCCCCTTGAAACGCCGCGCTTCACGTAAACGCTCTTAAGGGTCAACGAAGACGAGGGACTACCCTCGAGGCACAAATTGTAGATAGGAACAGAAGACAATCTCACGTGAGATTTCTTAAAATACCTATTTGCAATGTAACGGTTTTTTTTTAATATAAAAAAGCAGTTTCTTCTAATTTCTTTATTGTTTAGACAGTTTAAAATAATAAATTGAATAATTTATCATTATCATCTGTCAAGGAGAGGAATTAAAAAAAATAAAAAACAAAAATAAAAATGTCAGACTTTCGAACAAACGCAATACGGATTTTTATTTTTGCTCTCTTCGTAACAAATTATGGAGAGAATCATCATTTTAAAATATATTTATATTTATAATTAAAAATAACCCAGTGTTCTCTTTTTCTTGCTGAAAAAAAATTACGTGATATTTGTCGTGACCCCCCTTCCCCTACGTGAGATTTAGTGAGGTTTTTCTTGACCCTCTTTCCCCCCCTAAACGTCTCACGTAATTAATGGACCCCCCCATACAAAATACTGCGTGTGCGTATGCAAAATGAAGCATCAAATCATATAATTTTATTTGTAAAACGAAATGTCATGATAATACAGGTAAACATTGTATCTTAGTCAGTACCAATTATGTTCTACCGGGGATTGTACCGGTGTGCAAATCTAATACAATAATATTAATTGATTAAATTAATTAAGAACAGAAAAAGTACACACAGGTGATTGTCTTCAGTTACTATTTTGTGCCACGAGGAACTTTTTCCCCCCATCAATATTGATCCGACGACCTTATAAAGGTACCAGGAAGACGCTGGATGCAGGCCGCCACCAACCGGCCATTGTGGAAATCATTGGGGGAGGCCCATGTTCAGCATGCTTATTACCTTAGGTTAAAACAAAAGGAAATTATAAAGCTGAAGAGTTTGTTTATTTGAACGCGCTAATCTCAGAAATACAGGTCCGATTTGAAAAAATATTTTTGTGTTGGATAAGCCCAGTTATCGATTAAGGCTTTGTTTAGGCTATATGTTTATTATTTTATTTAACTTTATTCAGAAAACCACAGCTCTTTATAATATTAATAAAATTACTAACAGTAAGGAAAAATCGAACTGCCTAAGGTGGGAATTGAAGATATTTATAATTTTCAAATTAGTTTGAGATGCTACCAGGCCTGTTCATCTCCGCGAGTTTACATCGAAAACTAAACACGCACGATGGCCCCCTACAGGATTACTATTCGACAAGGCCTCAGCGAACATTGACTCACGCACGCGTATTCTTGTGCATGATGGAAAAAAACAAAGAAAATGGTGTACTAAATACTGTGCAGTATTTAACTGCCTAAATAATAATAAAAACACAGAATGTACTTTTTTAAGTTGCCTGAAGACACTGAGAGGTAAATAAGTAGTTAATATTATTCATGATAATTCATGCTAAATCATGTATTTCCTCCGCCATTTTCTGCAGTTTGGCACCTCACGTCACATCATTTTGCCGAAGTCAGCCCTATAGCTTCGGCGCAGTACCGATCACTGACGTTTGTCAACAAAATGGTGCTTGACTCATGAGACAAACTAAATAACACTATATTGGTAATGACATAGAGCATACATTTTTTTAAATACCTTCGCGAAGTAAAACTTCTGTACGTAGTACTTATTATTATTCTGTGATGCTACTCTTAACGCTAAAAATTAAATAACTAAGAAAAATGTTGCAAAAGCTAATTTTCACGCGTACAAAGTCACGGGCACAGCAAGTTACTAATATTCATTAAAAAATAATTTAGTCATAGTATTGCAATGATTTAGGCCATGAAGGATTTGGCCTACAATTCACATGCTGGCCAGACGGATTGGGGAGGCCTGATGTTCGCATGTGTGTCTTTTATTATTAAAGCTATAAGAAGACTGTATTCTGTCCCAGTTTATTTCTAGATATTTTTAAATTTAACCAAAATAAAAGATTGTTTTCTATAGTCTGGTCCGTGAGCACGTAGAATTTTATCCAATGACCCCAAGCTACCCATCCTTATCGCTCGCGTGTAATTATATTGCTGTCGCGACTGTGCGACGGGCGCCCGCAGTGAGTGTGCGAGCGCGACAGTAACATAATAATTACGCGCGAACGATTAGGATGGGTAGCTTGGGGTCATTGGACAAAATTCTACGTGCTCACAGACCGGGCTTTACAAAGTTATCAAAATAATATATTTACCGTCAATATTTTGTATCTCTTTTAAACTTAGTAGTCTTTATATCTCTGTTTGTGCATGTTTTTAAACCTGTATACCTCGCTCACTCTCGTGTGTCTGTCTCTGTCTTGTCTCTATTTTTATGTCTATGGTTCACAGCTGGTCTAGCCGTAGAGGTTGGTGGTCTGTTGACTGTTACCATCTTAACTAATTTCACTTTTATGTAGATATTTGGCATATTTTTTGTATCAAAATTGTTTTTTTCTAATTCGCTCATACGGTTTTTTTTATTGAAAAATCTTACTACTTTTTATAAAAAAAAAGAGACATTTTGATATTTATTTGAAATTTAGTTTTAAGGCTTCAAATCCGTAATTCAATAATTTGTGCTTTTTTAAAACTTCTTGGTGTTAGTAATTACTTTAAATAATTATTAAATCAATATGCACTCACACACCATCCGCCATTACAAATATTACAATAGATTTCGCAACCGTTCTCCTACGACCGATTCGTCAATGGACTTTTCGCCGACAGGACGATTCATTTATTTCCATTTCCCCAGCAGAATCTTTCAACTACGGGCCTTTTGCCGACATAACTTTTCATCTACCTCACTTTCGACGTCAGGCCTTTCCAGCTACAGAATGTTTCACCGACACGACGATAAACCTATACAGGGTGTTAGGTAAATGGGTATATGAGCCGACACTAGCCAATGTTAACATGGGCATATAAATGGTATGGTGAAGTCAGAAATTTGATATCATCATTTTTTTTTTTTTTAATTTTCATACAAAATGAATTTTATAAAATCCGATTTGTATGAAAATTAAAATAATTAAAATGAAGATATCAATTTTCTGACTTCACCATACCATTTATATGACCATGTTAACATGGGCTAGTGTCGGCTCATATACCCATTTACCTAACACCCTGTATAGCTCTTTCAAGTAAAGAACTTTCCATTTATGGATTTTTCCGAAAAGTCCATTGACGAATCGGTAGTAAGAGAACGGTTGCGGAATCATTACAATACAGCTATATTGTCATTCCATCACTTCCATAGTGCTTGTGTTTACATGCTGTTCTTGGGTCTAGCTAAAGCAAGATTTATTATAGGTCTAAAGCCTGGTCCGTGAGCACGTAGAATCCCGTCCAATGACCGCAAGCTACCCATCCTTATCGCTCGCGCGTAATTATATTGCTATCGCGACTGTGCGACGCGCGCCCGCAGTGAGTGTGCGAGCGCGACAGCAACATAATTACGTGCGAGCGACAAGGATGGGCAGCTTGGGGTCATTGGACGGGATTCTACGTGCTCCCGGACCAGGCTTTAGCTAGCGCTTAACTCAGTCAGTGCCTGAGGTATGGGAGTGGCAGGGGAGGGTGTTTTTTTGATTCGTTAAGCGAGGCTCAAGATTTGTATGCCCTGTCAAAATGTCAAAATCAGCCCTCCCGTGCTGCTCTTATATCCTAAGCACTGCCTGAGTTAAGTGCTACAACGATCATTAGTTTTTGAGAATACAATAGTAGAGTAACTCTTCCTATGTATAAAAATCGATAGAATATGACCTGTTGTGTATTCAATTTTTTATAATTTGATCAATTTACGTCTCATTTCTAAACAAATATCGTCAATAAAACATTTTCTTATCAACAGGTGTCCGAGCCGCCATTAATCCAAGTACATCCAGCGTCGAGTCAGCCGAGGAAAAGTACGTCACGGTTCTCAGTGACGCGCAACTACGATTCAATGTACAACCCCTCGCCTGTGCCCACTGATGCGTCTCCAACCCCCGAAGACCCCCGCCCGGCCACCCCTGGGCCCCCAGACTTGGGGCCTGACAGGCCACAACAAAAGCCTGACAGGCCACACCTGACGCCTGACAGGCCTGAGACCCCAGACCTCAGGCCCGACACGCCTGACCCCCCAAAGACAGTGCCTCACAGAACACAAGCCTCCGACAGCTTTAACAATGCAAGTGGAAGTGTCACAGTTGAAATTAGTGATATTAAAAATGTTATAGATGCCAAAAATGTTAACTCTAGTGAAAGTATCAAAGTGAGTGAGTGTACAGACGATTTAGTTAGTAATGTTTGTTTCACAGACAAAAGTGAGCGTGTGTCTCATACTGAGACTGTAATAGGCGATACGCTGACGACAGAGACTAAAATAGTTAAGAATAGTACTGATGTGAGGGAGAAAGAGAAAGTTGATGTGCTAGTCGAGGTCACAGTCACTAAAGAACACTCAGACCAGAACGTTTTTGACTTTAAAAACATCGATGAAAAACCAACCGTCAAAAATGACACGGCCATGAAACAAATTGAAGCCATCACAGAAGACTTGGGCAACTTAATTCAAGAATTCAAAGATTTGTCAACGAAAAACGTCAGCAAAGTCAAAAGCGACTGCACACAAACCGATGTAGTTAATTTAGATACATATAATGTACCTGTTAATATAATACGTGAAAATGTAGTGCTTAAGAAAAACAAAAGCGAATCGAGTCTCGATAGTCCCGATTTAGAAGTTTCTAGACTTATGAATAAAAAATTGGGTGGGAGTCCGTTCTGCGATAGCAGTTCCTCTTTAGAAATTTCTGGAAGCTCTGTAGAGAGTCTGAACACATTGGACAATCCACAATCTCAAATAGTGAAACCTATAATCATTGAATCTGATACAGAACTGGACAGGAGAAAAACCGACCATGTAGCATTGTCCACGGAAAGCAGCATAGAATCTAACACAAGCGAAGTAACTCCGGTGAACAGTAACTTTTTAAATATGTCGGTTAGTTCCAACGAAAGCGTGTCTCCTATTATATTCGGTAAAAGTAAGAAGATACATGACTCGCTGTCCAGTTTAGAAGCGAGCGTCAGTTCATTAGATTCTGGAAGACACGAGAAAGTGATGATCACGTCGGCAGATTCTGGAATAGAGTATTCTCTACAGCAACCCTCCGAGAGTAAAGAGGATAACTCGTCCAACGAAGGCACATTAACGAACAACTCGAGTCTAAAAGAAACTGTTAAAAAAGATACCTCCCAAGATGTAACTTCGCCCAAAAGAACATCCAGTTTGCTAGATGTGCCAGCGTTGAAGACCAAAGGTCTAAGCGAGAGACTGAGAAAGATATCCCTAGTGGCCCCATCCCCAAGCTTCCATATCCCCAAACCTGAACCGGAGAAAGAAATAAAACTCCCATCCCACCTGGATAAACTGCTAAGTTTATTCCAGCACCCCTTGTTCTCTAGATCTTCAAACGAAGAAGAGAAGAAGGGAACTAACACGCCGCCTAGGAAAGATTCTTCTTTAACTAGCTCGTTCTGGTCGTGGGGTAGTGCGACAGAGAAGGAGGATAAAGAAGACAGAGATAGCTCGTCCGAAGCGACGGATTCCACGCTCTCGGAAAGGGTGCAAGTGTCTTTCGTAGACGAATCCTTCTCCAAGAAGTTGGATAGCAAAACTCCGTCTACAGACACGGACAATACTCTCAGCGAGTTCCAAACTTTCCCGCAGAATTCGGAGGCGAGCGAGTCTCAGGAAAGAGTTACCGATACAACCACCGATGACAACTTAGTACAAAAATGTTTAGTTATAAGTAAATTTGACAACGCCAGTTCCAACGGCAACAAGGATGTGCCGAGAACAAGTGATAATACAGATCTCATAAAACCCAACGATTTAAATAAAAATTACGACTCAAGCCCCGCGGGCGACACGAATAAGAATCCAGAAGAGGAGAAAGAAAAAACGGAGGAAGTTAAGACGGAGCCTGTGAGGCCTAGGTCTTTTGCGTCAGTGCTTAAGTACTCGGGTTCGGAGAACTCGTTGGATAAGCAAAACAGCCCGGATTCAGGGCAACCCGTAGACAAATTGCCAAGCAAAGTCATACGCGGGATCAAAGAGAATATCAGCCCTGAAAACACCCTAACATCAAGCATGACCAACACGAAAACGTTAGCACTAGAACTCACCGAAAGACAAGTGAAGAATCAGCCGATAGTCAACGCAGTTTGGGAGGTGACGGTGCCGGTTTTGGAGAAAAACGAACCCAAAACCGAGGAGTCTAAAGCTCAAACTGACGTGAGAGTGACGGAGAACTTAGCGCCTATCGCTACTATAGAAGAGGCGTGTGACGAAGCAGATAATATAGCGTTGGATTTCATAGACGATCCGAAATTCGATGAAAAAAACACTTCAGCTGACAGCGGCGTGACCTCATTAGAAGGCGCGTCGGAAGATAAAAAGTTCGAAAAGGTTCTGCACTCGCTGACGACAGAGTTGGAACATGTGGATTTAGGAAAAGACGCGTTATCGTATTTAATTTACGAGAACCCAGAGTATGAAGCCAGGAAACTGGAAACCAATCCTCCCCAAGGCTCGTTAGCCCAAGAACTTCAAGACGCAGAAATAAAGGAGATGCTAGATCTATCACCAGAACTAATTATTGATGAGGCAATCGAAGTGCCAGAAGTTTTCACCGTCAAAGAAATAATAGGCATTAAAACCTCTCCAGTGATTCCTGAAAGAGCTAAAATCAAAAAGTCGAATTCTTTAGAAGATTTGTCGCAAGAGAAAGAGTGTCCTAAAACCAGGACGATAGCGTTCAAAGTCCCAGAAATTTTGACGACAACGCCGCGGGATATCCCTGAAAGGCGGTCTAGATTGCGCACACGAAGTGGATCCAGCCCGAAATCATTACCTGAAAGTTTGAATAAGCCTTGCCCGTTGTCGAAAATGGACTCAATATTGTCGAAAAAGAAGAAAAAAGTGTCTTCTCTAGGCAAAATGGCTAAGGATTCTTTACTAGCGTTAAACATGAGCGAAGATGAGATAGCCGAATTCCGCCGATCATACAAATTAACTTCAGTAGAAAGTTTGAAATCTCTAGAGTCTGTTTCCGAAGACGCGAATTCTCAAAGCGGTAATTCCATCGACTCCCGTTGCAAAGTGTGCCTTAGAACGTCGCAAGAGAGCTTAATGTCGCTCGATTCGATCACTGAGGATTGTAGGTGTACAGACGATTGTGAAAAACCAGGCCAATCCAACAGATAGATCATTTTAATACTTCGAGATCTATGGGATACTAATTTATTTTAACCCACTGTAGACAGTGGGGTTTGTAACAACCAGCGTCAAAATTGGCCAAAAAGCTGACAACAATCTTATTCCAATTGTAACAAAGACGCGTTGCGAACTTTTTGGCTACTTTGGGTGTCACGAACCATTAAAATTTGACGCTGTCTGTAATACATATTTACAATGCGATCGTATGTGTAATATTTTGCAGCTAAAATTATATTTTTAGATTTCATGCCGGTACATTGAGAGCATGAATATAAGATCGTATTATAAGTACGGTCCTATTTGAATTTTGAGTACACCAGTTTCTCATTATCTCGAATTAACCAGACACATATACTATGATTATAAATGGCATATTTGTACAATAGTAGATTTGTACGAAGATTTTCGAAATCCTTTTAGGTCTCGAATTATTGGAATCGTGTATAGAAATCCAAAATTATACTATTTATTTCAAATTTAAGTATAAAATGACCCTTTTTTTTAGGTTTTTGTGCACCAGTGCAGACCAATTTTAAAATTACTAGTTCCTTCTAGTAGATTTTGAACTTAAACTCGTTGATATTAAGGTTCAAAGTCATTTGAAGATTTTTTAAATTTTCACATAAAATATGTTTGGGATAAGAGAAATCGCAGGTTCCAAAATTACACTTAAAAAAACGAAATATAAGAACAAAAGTTGCTTCAGCAATAGACAAGAAAGACAACGCTCTATGACCATAGAGTGTTGTCTTTGTCATAGATTATTTATTTAGCGTTTTTCATCTCTTTCATCGTCTAGAAAATGTTGGTATGAGTGAGAGAGATAGACGCAAGTGTTATGTTCAAATCATTTTTGGAAATGTACCCGCGGATTCATTTTGTATATTTATTTATTTATTTTCTAAAATTAGATCAGCTGAGGTTTAGATAGAAGACGTCACTTCTTCGAACATTTGTAGATAATGGAAATAATTAGTTTTGACAGATTCTAACACGTATAGTCTGAAACGTCAAGTGACAAAAATTGGAACTATAAGATGACCCACGTTGAACTGTCCCATCAAACTCAATGACAGGGGGGCGCTACCATCGTTCAAATATATGGTTTCCAACATGGCAAAATTCGGAACCAGCGATCCGGTATTGACGGTGGCGCCCCGCTGTCAATTCATGGATAGGACAGTTCAGTATAATGGAATTATAATAACCCAGTGTTGATAATAGCGCCCTCCTGTCAATATCATAGCTGGGACGGTTCAGTGTAGGTCATATAGTTCTGAAATCCAAAATACTGAACTGTCCTGTGCATGACATTGACAGTGGGGCGCCACCGTCAATACCGAATCGCTAGTTCCGATTTTTGCCATGTTGGAAACCATATAGTTGAACGATGGTAGCGCCCCCCTGTCATTGAGTTTGGCGGGACAGTTCAGCGTGGGTCATCTATATAAATGACAGTGTGATTCGACATCCTGTCAAATTTTGACGGAAAAATATAGTATACATTTTGGTTTCTATACACATTGAAGTAGTGCAACGTTTTCCATTATATATCGAATAGTACATAATAATCTGATCGTAGAAATACTAGGGTATATAAAATGATTGTTTTTGATTTGAAAATTATTTATAAAAATGTTGTTATTATAAAGAAATATGTAATAGTACACAATATGTTCAGTTCATCTTTAGACCAGTGCAGAGTATATTGTTTGTTCGATTTTCAATCTAATTGTGTCCGCATAATGTTCAATATTTGGTGACCAATATCTGCCATAACTAAAGGGTTTACCCTCTATGGATTCATGTTATTTTTCATTGGACTTTCGACTTTAGAATGAATAGATAAGGTTCAAATTATGGTGGCAATATATGAAAGTTCAATAAAAAGTCAACCCTTTGGCCACTTGTTTTTGTGTAAAGGCTGATTTAAATGTGTTAAGTAGATAAGTAGGTAACTAAATTTTAACTTCATTTTAAGTGATTAATTGCGTGTAAACACACAATTTAGTAGCAAGTGGCAAGTTAAAATTTAGTTGTCAACTAAATTTTAAGTCGCAAGTACTGTTTACATGCAACTTAATCGCTTAAAAATAACTTAAAATTTAATTAACTACTTAATACGGGTAAATCAGCCTTTAGGCCCGGTTTCCACCAAAGCGGAAGTTTCGCGTCGTCAAATTTTTCTATACGATTTGACAGCCGCGACAGCGCATCGCGAAATGAAGAAGAGAAGTGGAAATAATGAAATCTGATTGGTTATTCAAACACTTCTACGCTCCACTCCGCTTTGGTGGAAACCGAGGTTAACGTTAAAATAACTTGGAAGACCTAAAGCATTGGTTCCCAAAGTGGGGGCGCGCCCCCCAGGGGAGGCGCAAAGACCTTTAAGGGGGGCGCGGGCCATCTGTGTACTTAAGTATAAAAAACCTGCGACCGCTGAGAGAATGCATTCCAGACTGCTCGATACGGCCAATAAATAATCTTGACTGGAGGGGGCGCGCGAAATTTTTTGTATGGTCGAAAGGAGGCGCGTCTCAAATAAGTTTGGGAACCAATGACCTAAAGCGTAATTTCATACATGCCACACCCCTAGACGAAAACTTACAATTGGGTAGGTTACATAGAAGTGTGATGTGTATGTAATTCTTCGGCTCAGTTGCACCATCTTACTTTAACTTTGACAAACGTCAAAAATCTGTCAAACTCCACACAAAAAACACCGGCTATCGTTATAGTTACGGTCAAAGTTAGGTGGTGCTCAGCCTTAAAGGTTCGGCCAAGCCAACGCGTGCAGCCATCTATTTTTCGGCAATAGTGTTTCCAGATTATTCCATAGTGTTGCCAGTGATAAAAAAATTGATAATTCGATATCCACATGCATCCTACCTTAGTTACTTAAAATTTTTGATAGTGTCTAAAAATTGCTAACATTTCAATACCTATTTATTTTACAAACAATTTGGCATAGTTTTATCATTTCCTACACAATATTTTGTTAGTTACTCGCAGAGATTTGATTCGCAAACAAATCTACTAATTATAAAATCAGTACAATCGATGGAACATTAACGCCCGTATCCACAAACGATGCTTGCTTTAGTGAAGCAGCAAATCGAATGCACAGCGTTGAATAGAGCTCTGTGATTGGTTCGTGCGTGACCGTGTTACTTATGGCCCCGCCTGGCACATGTCTCGCCCGTATTCACAAACGTTACTATGAGGTCTCACAGTGCGCGTGGACGCACAGGGTCACACGAACCAATCACGGAGCTCTATTCAACGCTGTGCGTTCGATTTGTTGCTTCACTTAATCAAGCATTGTTTGTGAATATGAGTATTGGGTGTTAATATTCTTAGCGAGAACTGAACAAAATACTGTTTTTCAAAATTACTTTGAAACGATTTGAGTCTGGTAAGTGGATGTCAACTTTATTGATGTTGGAAAAAGGTTTATAATTGAAAAACAAGAAAATTGTATCGCGAAAATCTTTTGTTTTCATAAAAATAACAATTATTTTTTTCGGAGAAAGAAACTTAACGTGAAGAAGTTTTTATTGTTGCTCTGTAAAAAAAATGTGTACAGATTACGAGAAATATTTCTAAAAATTCAGATTTTATATAAATATATAAAAATATGATGTTTTAAATTAATAAAATAAGCTTTATACACTTGTGTGTAATATACATTCAGTATGTCTATTAATAATTGAAATTAAAAGAATAAGTGTTTGTAATATCATAAAAAGTTGATATATCAAATTGATATATCGATGATTTCTTCAAAAAGTCTATTGTAATTATAAATAATGCTTAGAGTGTTGAAATATGGTATTTTCGTGATTTTCAAATTGCAAGTGTGTGTAAAATAATTGAATATGTTAAATAAATAAAAGGACGTTTAATTCTTAACTGAAAAGAGACTTTCATTTACTTATTACTATAATCTGTATATTTTAAAGACTGTAAAAGGAGGCTGACAATAGTGACTGAGTTTCTTGCGCTGCTTCTTCTCAGCACTGGCCCATTTGTCCTGAAGCAGTGGTAGGGTTAATACCGGGACGTGTAAAAGAGCTTTTTAAAAGCCTATTTGCAAAAATAAATGAGTTTCATATTTATTTTTAACCAGTTCCTATAGCTTGATTAGGTTGAACGTAGGTCTGGGCTCGTTGAGATCTACCGATTAACTGCGTCAGTGCCTGAGGTATGAAAGAGGCACGGGAGGGTGTTTTTGAGACATCAAATGTCAGTGAGACTTCGGATCTCCGACACATTTGTATAGATGACCCACGCTAAACTGTCCCACCAAACTCAATGACAGGGGGGCGCTACGATCGTTCAACTATATGGTTTCCAACATGGCAAAAATCGGAACCAGCGATCCGGTATTGACGGTGGCGCCGCACTGTCAATGTCATGGATAGGACCTGAGGGATCAGTGTGATAGGACAGTTCAGTATTTTGGAACTATATTTTGTAGTATGCTCTGTCACGTCATAAGTAATCCTTTAGCGCCCCCTGTCATTAAGTTTGGTGGGACAGTTCAGCGTGGGTCATCTATATCTGAGTCAATGTCACCCCTCCCGTGCCCCTCCCATAACCTCAGGTAGGTACTGACTCTCTCTATTAACATGTTTTTTTTTAAATTTACTATTTCATCATCATCATTTCAGCCACAGCCACGTCCACTGCTGAACATAGGCCTCCCCCAATGACTTCCACATCGCACGATTGGTAGCGGCCTGCATCCAGCGCCTTCCTGCTACCTTTCTCAGGTCGTCGGTCCACCTTGTGGGCGGACGTCCCTTTAATAATTTACCCTGTTTTATGCAAATAAATATATTTGATTTGATTTGATTTACTATTGAATTTATTATAACATTAATTGTCTAGTTAAGTCTTTATTTATTTATTTTAAACTTATAGGCACATAGAACGGTGTACCTACATAATATAATACAGTCTTTCACAACTAAGTTCGATTGAAATAGTAAACTACAGTACCTCTAGTACGAAAAACTTTCGAGTTCGTTTCGTTGCGTATTCAAAGTGTCATCGAAAAATTTTGTATGAAAAATTAAACAGCGCCCCCTAGGGCGGCTATAATATAGGGGGCGCTGTTTAATTTTTCATACAAAATTTTTCGATGACACTTTGAATACGCAACGAAACGAACTCGAAAGTTTTTCCTACTAGAGGTACAGTAGCTACTTGCATATTTCATGACATTAATCATTAAACACAGCAAATAAACCGTTAAATTAGAAATGTTTATAGACAACTAATGGATTTTTAATCAGTTCGTTTACATCTTGTTATTAACATGACAGTTTTCAGACTACTTATCATATTTTGTGAGTATTTAGTATTTAAATATAGTAGTTTAATTACAATAAATGTAAAGTTTCATCGAAATCCGTTTAATAGTTTTTGCGTGAAAGAGTAACATTCACACAAACTTTCGCATGTATAATTTTATTAGGATTAGTAGTGGGATATTGTTTCATATAATTACTTATATTTTAAATACAATCACCCGGTTTTATTGAAAAGTCTAGTACAGTTTCGTGTTCTTGAAAATACAGGGTGGCCAGGGAGTTGACGTTCAAAGTTAAAATTGAAATTCCTTACATCAAGGTGTATCTAAATCACCCCCATGTAATGTTCTACGATTTTGCTTAGTTTAGGAGACGGAATTAATTTTGTGATTTATCCTTAACTATCACCTATGGTTGGTTTTTAATTTTTTCTGACTTTGGAAGCTTCTTTAGCGTAGGTAAGTAAAAACGAACTACAAGTGCTCGTCAGAGTGAGAGAAAAATTAAAAACTAACCATATCCTAATGATGATTTAGATACACCTTGATGTAAGCTAGGAATCTAAATTTTAGCTTTGAACGTCTACTCCCTGGCCAACCTGTATATTGGTGAAATTGTTGTTATAATATTTTTACAGGCACTATGCGTCTCTCCTGGCCCCTACAGTACCGTTACTGGAACAAATATCATATTTGGGACACGACGCTGAAAGTACCTGCAGCTTTGATCAATGTACGGGACCGACAATTTTGTTCATCATCATCATCATCATCTCAGCCACAGGACGTCCACTGCTGAACATAGACCTCCCCCATAACTTCCACATCGCCCGGTTGGTAGCGGCCTGCATCCAGCGCCTTCCTGCTACCTTTATGAGGTCGTCGGTCCACCTTGTGGGACCACCACGCTGCGTTTTCCGGTACGTGACCTCCACTCCAGAACCTTGCTGCCCCATCGGCCGTCAGTTCTGCGTACTATGTGCCATGCCCATTGCAATTTTGTTTGTTTCGACCAAATTACGTCCACTGCTGGACAAAGGCTTACGCCCGTATTCACAAACGATGCTTGCTTAAGTGAAGCAGCAAATCGAACGCACAGCGTTGAATAGAGCTCTATGATTGGTTTGCGTCCACGCGCACTGAGTAAATAGAAATGTTTGTGAATAAGGGCGTTAATTTCGTTGCGGGTCCAATGACAGCTTTCAACTTTCCCCCGGGACAGACTTGGCCTTCACTGGTTGGGTTATTGGTGATCAAGCTGTAGATCCTGGCTACACAGGAGTTGCAGCGGTGGGAATAGTCCCTTCACCGCGCTGGACAAAGGCCTCCCCCAAGGATTTCCACATCGTGAACAGGGCTGCCCGTAATTATCTAAAGCCCGGTCCGTGAGCACGTAGAATTTTGTCCAATGACCCCTGGCTACCCATCCTTATCACTCGCGCGTAATTATATTGCTGTCGCCACTGTGCGACTGGCACCCGCAGTGAGTGTGCGAGCGCGATAGCAACATAATTACGCGCGAGCGATAAGGATGGGTAGCTTGGGGTCATTGGACAAAATTCTACGTGCTCACAGACCAGACTATAGGTGCTTCGCACAACCTTTGGCAAGCCTTTGTCCAGCAGTGGACGTCACTTGGCTGTAGTAAACGAATCTGGTAAATGGCCTAAGTACCTACCTACTGAATAAATGATTTCATTTGATCTATTTTATTTTAAGGTTATGAAGACGTACCACCAGAATGCTCGCGTCAGATCCACTGAGCTGAACGAAATGCGGTTCATGTATGAAGAATCTCCGCATTATGAAGAAGGATACGTCATGAGCGAACTGGTTGATAGGTATAGATCGTTTCATCCACTCGGACGCGCCCCACCACATTTTGGTCTCGGTCGCGCGGGGTGCGGGGAGTTTGATCCGAGCAATCCGAGCGTCATTATTTTAGTGTGCGTGTGCACACAGAGATAATTTAGCGTGTACCGATAACACTCAGACATTAGCGGAAAAATGGGGCGCGTTTTCGTGGATGAAACGATCAATAGTGTTTTTGTTGTACCCCAAGCACGAATATTCTCGTAATCGTACAGCTGTAATTTTCATGAGAACGCATTGTTTGTTATCAAAGGAGAAAATATTTTCATATTAATTTGCATAAATACCTAATGAAAAATCTATGGAGAGAGTGCTAGCCCATTAGCTATTGTCAAAAGGTAGTTTTTTATCGTTTATTTGTGCAAATTAATCTCTACGATTTTAAATCGTTTCATTCACGAAGACGCGCGAAGACACACACTACAATAATGACGCTCGGATTGCTCGGATCAAACTCCCCGCACCCCGCGCGACCGAAACCAAAAATTGGTGGGGCGCGTCTTCGTGGATGAAACGAACTATAGGCACAGAATAATAATAAGTACTCTATAGGTACTAAATGATTACGAGAATTGTTCGTTTTTGACTAGGCCTTTTTGACTTGTACTGTTGACTAGGCCAGTCTTCTGTTCTATAGAGACATCAATATTTTTACAAGTAATTTTTCTCTTCTTAAATCCTTCACAGATACAAAAAGATGGTGTATCACGTCAAACACCCGATGGAGCACCAATCCGACAACGTGTTCGAGACTCTTCGGCACCTTGAACTGGTTGAACACCTCGGCCAAGAGATCTACCACCTCTCCCATATGATACACGAGATCCCACGGAAGTATAGGTTCGTTTGGTGTTCCTTATAAAGCCCGGTCTGCGAGCGCGTAAAACTTTGTTCAATGACCCCAAGTTACCCATCCTTATCGCTCGCGAGTAAATTATATTGCTGTCTCGACTGTGCGACGGGCGTCCGCAGTGAGTGTGCGAGCGCGACACCAACATAATTATGCGCGAGCGATAAGGATGGGTAGCTTGGGGTCATTGGACAAAATTCTACGTGCTCGCAGACCAGGCTTTAGTACAAGAGGGGACCGTAAGAAACCCTACGTCGTCACTTGATACTAAGATAAGCTACATGGTACACGTTCAGACAAGTCGTGCTAAGCTTGGAACAATTACGAGGGCTGCACTAAAAGTATCGGGAATGGAATATTTCCACTGTTCCAGTCATATTAAAATCTATTTAATTGCAAAGTCCAGGGTTTTAAAAATCGTATACCATTTATTTATTTAAAAAAAGATTCTCGGTCGTATCACAAGGTCTTGTCAAACTTGTTTAGTCGTTGAGAAAATGGAATTGACTCGAGAAAATTCAAGAGCGATGATTTATTATGACTTTTGAAGTGGTTTAACACAAAAACAGTGTGTTGACCGGATGATTTCTGCATTTGGTAATGAAGCCCCATCCAAAACCACAATTTATCGCTGGTTTCCTGAATTTCAACGTGGACGTGTCAAGCTCAGTGATGATCCCCGTCAAGGTCGTCCAAAAACTGCAGTCACCTAAGAAAACGTTGATGCTGTGCGTAAGCTGATTGAAGAAGATCGACATGTGATATACCGCGAAATTCAGGCAACTTTAGACATTGGCATGAGTCAAATACAAATAATCTTGCATGAACAATTAGGTGTAAAAAAGTTGTTTTCCCGATGGATACCGCATTCGCTCTGTGAAGAGCAAAAAGCGGCTCGCGTTACTTGGTGCGTCAGAACTCTCGGGAGATTACATGCAGGATCCTCAAATGCTGTATACAACATCGTATCAGGTGACGAATCATGGATATACGCGTACGAACCCGAAACAAAAAACCAGTCACGAGTTTGGGTGTTCGAAAATGAATTAAAGCCAACAAAAATTGTTCGTTCACGGAGTGTTGCAAAAAAAATGGTGGCCACGTTTGTCTCCAAAACCGGCCATGTTGCGACTATTCCTCTTGGGGGACAAAGAACGGTTAATGCAGATTAGTATGCTAGCATTTGTTTGCCACAGGTCGTTTCTGAACTCCGTAAAGAGAACTGCAACCGCCGCATCATCCTCCATCACGACAATGCGAGTTCTCACACCGCGCACTGAACAAAGGAGTTTTTAGAGCAAGAAAACATAGAATTATTAGTCCATCCGCCGTACAGCCTCGACCTAAGCCCTAATGATTTCTATACTTTCCCTTAAATAAAGAATAAATTGCGTGGTCAGAGATTTTCATCACCTGAAGAAGCTGTGGAAGCCTACAAAACGGCCATTTTGGAGACCCAAACTTCCGAATGCAATGGTTGCTTCAATGATTGGTTTCGTGTATGGAAAAATGTGTCAAATTTCGCGGAGAATACTTTAAAAAGCAATAAATACATTTTTAAATAGTAATGTTGTTTCACTTCCTTGATTCCCGAAATTTTCAGTGCCGCCCTCGTAATTAATAAAGTCCGGTTTGGCCGAAAGTACCGAAAGTATCATCAGAATCAGAAATTAGATCCGTAAACGAACTAAGTCGCTGATATAGCCCGACGGATTAGCAAGCTGAAGTGGCAATGGGCAGGGCACATAGTAAGCAGAACTGACGGCCGATGGGGCAGCAAGGTTCTGTAGTGAAGGCCACATCAGAAAATGCAGCGTGGGTCGTCCACCCACAAGGTAGACGGACGACCTCATAAAGGTAGCAGGAAGGCGCTGGATGCAGGCCGCTGCTAACCGAGCGATGTGGAAATCATTGGGGGAGGTCTATTTTCAACAGTGTACGTCCTTGGTTGCAACGAACCTATCATCATCGTCATTTCAGCCACAGGACGTCCACTGCTGAACATAGGCCTCCCCGAATGATTTCCACATCGCCCGGTTGGTAGCGGCCTGCATCCAGCGCCTTCCTGCCACCTTTTCTTAGGTCGTCCGTCCACCTTGTGGGTGAACGTCTCACGCTGGACCACATGATCAAATTGTAGACTGTTATGAATTAATTTAATCTCCTTTTCTTTCAGACAAATACCAGAATTTGCCAATTTAGAAAAAGAGATAGACATGGCCAAAGTTCAAGAAGAGATGAAAAACTTGAAGGAACAAGAAAGACTTCAGAAGAGAGAGAAAAAGAAGGCTGCTAAAGTGTTGAAGAAGTTGAGAGAGCTTGCGATGGCGCAAGGACAGAAGGTGAACTACCCTCCGAAGATCAGAAATAAGTGGTGGCCCATCGACTATGGGTGGGAGATAGATTATTATTGGTAACTGTTACTGACAGAACACCCGCAATAATAAATACATATCTATCTATACTAAGCGAAAGGTCACTGACTGACTCACTCATCACGAAATCTCATAAACTACAAGTGCTGGGGGTTCCTTTTAGAACGTAGGATGTAGGTGCTCACTAAGGCCTCAGCCTCGAACTTAGCGGGCAGCGGCGCGGGAGCGGCGGCGGGGCGGGAGCGGCAGGATCTTATGCGTAAAATCAAATAGACCGGTTCTCGAAAACAGCGGCGCGGGAGCGGCGCCGGAGCGGGCAACGAGCGGGCAGCGGCGAGGGAGCGGGCAACGAGCGGGCAGCGCACTCCTTCTTTTGCCCACAATAAATCAAGCGTAAGGAATAAATTTGAATCGAAATAAAATTGTCGCCGTTGTACAGACATTTCGTTCGCGAATAAAAACAAATATCTCGACAACACAACCCCGAACACAACACTTCGCCGCTAAAGCGCCGCGCGAGCTGCCCGCTGGTTTCGAGAACGGGTCTGCGTTGCCCGCCCCGCTCCCGCGCCGCCGCCGCCGCCGCCCCGCTGCCCGCTGCCCGCTAAGTTCGAGGCTGAGGCCTAAGACGGGATTTTGCAAAATTCAATCCCTAAGGGATAAAAATGGGATACACGCGTACGAAGTCGCGGGCGGCCGCTAGTATCAAATACTTGCAACCCGATCGAGCTAACTGCGCACCTTATCGGAATGCGCCTCTCCTCCCACTTACCCGCACACCTCCCCGCGTTCGCCCCGTCCGTACCAGAGCGTCGATGTGACGTCACGGCTACCAAGTGCCCTGTTAACTCGACCGGGTAAACCGGGTTGTACCCTTGGACATTCCACAAAGGACTATGAACTTCGAACTCCTCCTTGTTCTCCTATTTTTTCGTTGCGGGTCCAATTACAGTTTAACTTTCTCCCGGGACTAACTTGTCCTTCATTGGTTGGGTTTTTGACTCAAGCTGTAGATCCTGGCTACACAGGAGTTGTAGCATAGTAGTGCTATGAGTTCCAAACTAAACAAAGTTCGTAGGTATATTATGTAGGTACATACTCTTGTTTACTAGGCTTTACTTTAATAATACGAGTACATACTGTTGTAGGTACTTATCATTATAGCTGAGGTTTCATAAACGAAACAATAAAAATGTTCATTCATAATTTTAGAAGTTTTATTTGACTTTGAAAATACCTACCCAATATTTAGGTCGGAAGTACGAAGGTAGTTGAAAAAAATTGTTTATCATTTCACACACTGCCAGATGTGTAGATATTTTAATAGAATATAGTAAAAACTGACCCTAGACCTTCTGAGACACATCTAAAGAGCTCGAAAAGTATGCAATTAGAAACCGGTCGGGTTTACTGCGCATCTGACAGCCGTGACGTCACATCTCCGCTCTGGTACGGCCGGGGTGAGCGCGGGTGAGTGCGAGGGAGAAAGGTGCGCAGTTACTTTAGCCGATCGGGCTGTAATTAAGCTTGTAAAATAATAATTAAAGTTCAAGTAGGTAATTTTTATTGTTCTTTCTTTTAACTACATAATTTAGTTTGTGTTGTTCCTTTTCAACATGAGGGCGTTTTTTGTGTTATTACTATGTAAGTAGTTTGTATTTACAATAAACTATAGATTTTTGGAGTTCTAGATGGTTCTATCACTAATACGGTTTTGGCTACTGTTGTCACTTAGGTAGGTGATTGTTAAAAATTTGTGAGTGGTGGATTGAAAAATAGGTAAGTAAGATATCATATCTTCTACCTCAGGATATAACTAGCGCTACTGGGCAGGTATGTACCACCCATTGTATACCGTTAAAATTATTAAGCGTCGCAATCCATATCGTCTCTTGAAGAAGCAGCCATCAGAGAATTTTTAAGTCACGCGCAGCGGAAAGAAAGAATTAAATAAGATAAAAAAGTAAATCGATATATGTTACTGATTCTGTACCTCTAGCATGAACAACTTTCGTCTTCGAATCGTTTGCGTATTCGACAAAATTCGATTCTCATCCTTCGAATTAAACGATAACGTGACAATGAGGGTTCTCGCGATTGAAAAATCCGCCAGATGGCAATACGTAGACGCGAGGTCCAAATGCTGCGTGATTGGTGGATTTTGACATGTCTGTCAATGTCATGTCAAAAATAACCAATCATGCAGCATTTGGACCTCGCGTCTACGTATTGCCATCTGGCGGATTTTTCAATCGCGAAAACCCTCATTGATTGTCAAAATTAATAATATAGTTTCGTGCAACCATTTCTCATACTAAGTTCACTTTACGACACGTTCACATTTTAGCACACAGCGCTGTTAACATACTAAATCTTTTGATGGCAATTCGAAGTCGAATGTTTTTCGTGCTACTGAGTCGCTCCGAAAAAGGCAACACTTTGCAAAGCCACTCTGTAAAGCTTTTAACAATAAAACCCCTGATTCCAGGTGGCATGTCCAGCTGCAACGACAACTGGGTATGGAAACCAGACTACTATGGCAGTATGAACTGGTACGATGAGAAGCACACGCACGTCATCATCAGCCTGGTGGTAGACATCATTAAAGACACCGACGAACGCATCCGATCAATCGAAACCCTTCGGCTAGACAATTTCCGAACTGCTAGCTTCGAGATTGGTTTCCTAAACTACGTCATCATGGAAGAGTACCGAAAAATGCTGGAATGCTACAACACTAGCGTGATTATGGACTGGGAGTTGTACGGATTTGAGACCATGATGTACATGGTGGAAGTAGAGGCCCATTATTGGCAGATAGATCATCTTCAAAGTATGCAGCATGAGATTGAAAGGAAATACAACATTCATTCAAAAATCGAGGACGCGCCGGGTGAGGCAGAGATTCGGCCGACGACCATAGACCCCAACTTCAAAACGAAGAAAACGAAGCGCACTAGGGACAGGCTGGGAGAGCAGATCGCTGTGTTTGTGGACAAGATGCACACCACGAAGAAAAGGAGCACCAGGTGGTGGTGGCCCATCGAGTACGGATGGGAGGTGGAGTATTATTGGTAGACTGGGAAGTTTTTAAACTGTTCTATTACAATGGAATCCAAAGACAACAACACAAGTTCAGAATACAAGAATAGTAAATCAAAATAATGTACCAACAATTGCTGCAAAAGCAAATTCTGGAGTTATTAACAGCAATAAACCAATGAAACTAATTATGGATATTCATATTTTTATTTGTTTTTGTCCGACTGTCGAGAACCCTGATTTCAGAAATTGTTGCTGACTGAACTTTTCAGAAAACGACAAACGCCCGCATTCACAAACATTACATGAGGTCTCACAGTGCGCGTGGTGACAACGAATCAAACAGAGCTCTATTCAACGCTGTGCGTTCGATTTGCTGCTTCACTTAAGCAAGTAAAAAGTATCGTTTGTGAATCCGGGCAAAACTGTCACAGATATTATCTAGCAGATAAATCTACGTAATCAGCAACCTTTATTATTAAGATAATGTTATTATCAAATCAATAACTGTCTGAAACCTTATCAGGCTCTTACGCTCGTATTTTATCACTGTCTGGCCACCTTGGGTAATGTAGTCCAAATCCAACCTCCACACAAGACTTTTCCCACCTCTCGGTCCCACCGCTGCAACTCCTGTAGGTATAGCCAGGATCTATAGCTTGAATGCCAATAAAAAAAATGCAACCAGTGAAGGTCAAGTTCGTCCCGGGGAAAGTTGCTGTCATGTGACCCGCAACGAAATTAATCAGAAGAACATAGGAGGAGTTCGAAGTTAAGGTTCGACTTCCCATTTTCTTTAAATTGGAGTTGTCCTCCTGCACTAGAGACTAAGTAAAAGACGTCGCATATATCAACCCGGAAAGGGATCGAAACCGTATCAACTCGAGGCGGTCAGTAATTCTTTGTATGAAACTCCATACTACAAGCTTCACTTATCCGAACCGTAACGTAAACGAATCGCCCCGCAATTGACAGCGCGCGAAAGGCGATGACAGCTCGCAAAAGGCGATACGATGTTGATCCCTTTCCGAGTTGATAAGTCTGCTACGAGCTTAAAAATGACCTGACGACGATTTTATGTTTCCAGGTGTAGAACCTTGAGCTACAATTAGAAAGTTTTCTCAGATTCCTTTAGCGGCTGTTAAAAATGACCTGATGACTATGATTTTGTTTCCAGGTGTACCAACCTGGAGCCAAAGGCCAGACCCACATGAACTCAGCCAGTCCCAGAAGTCAATCCTGGATGAGGTATCCTGGTCGGTGAAGCTGATGCTGCTCAGGGAATACTTCCCGCATCTGGATGAGACGAAGCGAGTCGGCGGGCAAGCCTATGTCAGAGTTAAAAGGTAGCTGAACTAACTGGTAGCTATTTTTACTAGGTTACGTTTGTGATTCTGTTTTTCGGTAGTGACTATTATCCTACTAATATTATAATCCTACTAATATTATAAATGCGAAAGTTTGGATGTCTGGATGTTTGGTACTCATTTACGCAAAAACTACCTACTGAAAGGATTTTGTTGAAACTTTACAGTATTATTGTTTATAGCCCAGAATAACCTATAATTTAATTTTATGACGATCTGTGACAAACTTAAATTTCACGCGGGTGAAGCCGCGGGCAAAAGCTAGTATTGAATAATTTTTAAGCCCTACTGGATACTACTGTTTTAAATGAGATAACAAAAACTCTAATGGGTGACTGAATTTAAAAAAAAAAAAAATTGCCTTCTCAAGAAGCATATTTTAACAGTAAAGAAATTTGTATGGAAAGGCAAAATAAAAGTACGAAGCACACTTATCAACCCAAAAACGGATCGTAGGTAACCGTATCAACTCAATGTGGTTAGTATTATTTGTATATGAAACTCCCACAATTATCCGCACCGTAGTAAACTCCTCGCCTCGCGGTTGACAGCGCGACGAAAGGCGATACGCTGATACCTTTCCGGGTTGATAAGTGTGCTGTGACCTTTAAATGTCATTATCTTTGTTCCCAGAGACATCGAATCCCCTCCAACAGACGACAACGATATGAAGCTCAAACTGTTTCGTCTAATGTACGAGACAGTCCGAGACAGCGACTTGAAGGTCAAGAGAGCTGAGCTCATAAACGCATACTACGTCAACTCCACCAGCTTCGAAATAGGTTATTTACTGGGTGATGTCACTGACAAGTTCAATATTATGTCTGACATATCTTCAACGCTGAAGAGACTGTACGAGAGCTGGAAGCCAATAGAACATATAAATGCGTACGAACAGATTGCTAATCAGGCTATTGAAATAAGTCATTTAATTGATATGATTAGAACGGTAAATAAGAGAGGCATGTCTCAGGATATGTCTTAGATTACAATGTTTGAATACGTGTTTTGTTTCATTGATAAATTCGCAATCACAGTGCAAGTCGTAAATTATAAGTAGTTAAGATCGTTTCCACGAAGACGCGCCCCACCATTCTTCCGCTAATGTTTGAATGTTATAGATGCACGCTAATTTATCAATGACGCTTGGATTGCTCGGATCAAACTCCCCGCACCCCGCGCTTCCTTCGATCAAAAATTGGTGGGGCGCGTCTTCGTGGATGAAACGATCATTATTAAATGTGGGCCAGTGAGAGTGTGCAAGAAACCGCAGAGTAAAAAGGGGTGATCGCTCTTTTCTAACCCCCAAACTTTAATAGTAGATACTCGTAGGTGAACTGAAAAGAACGGCTTGAAAAATGTTTTTAACTATCGACTGTTAAGTATTCTCTGAAATTCCTTCCGTAGACACGAAGCTAGCGACAACTACGGAGGAATTTCATAGAAATACATAGAAACCAGTAGTGTCGCTGCGACACATCGAGCGTCCGCTGTTGCCTCATGTCGTCCGTACCCTAAGAAAGTGCGCACATTACACCGATTTGGTATCGGCAGAGTAAATATGTTTTTTCTATGGTATCGGCCGATTCCTCATACAAATTAGAAGCCTTTTAAAAAGCCGTTGTTTGCCTATTAAATTACATGTAGCTATATTGAGATGTATTAATTAATGAGAAATTCAAAATTGCTAATTAAATTAGTAATTAAAATGGACGACACAAAATGGTTACTTAGAATTCTCATTTCGTTGATATTATGTGAGTACTTACTTTTCTTTGTTATTATTTTGAGTATATTTAAAAACTGCATAAACTTCAGTTTAGCTTGATCAATTGTTATCTGGACATCAACCTCCAGGTTCCTTCTCCCATACTTCCAAGTACCACGTGATGAGGCACAGACAGGACGACAACACCGGCTGGGGTGACAAGAAACAGATGATAGCCATATCTATAGGTAATTAAACAAAACATGTATTGTCTTTATTTCGTTCGTATGAGCCAAATAACGTCCACTGTTGAAGAAAGAAAGAAACATATTGCTATGGACATCACACAAGGACAAATCACACCACCACCCATGGTTCTTCCTGCCTCACGGCGTACGAACCGAATCTCGGGAGAGCGCGCGGGTACTTGCTCTGGCTGGGCTCCTTTCCCCGGGCGCTTTGCTTGACTCACACAATCAATCACACAAGGACAAAAAAGATTCGCTCGTTTCAGCCGAAAAACGTCCACTGCTGGACAAAGGCCTCCCCCAAGGATTTCCACAATGACCGATCCTACGCCGCTCGCATCCAGGCACCTCCTGCGACCTTCACCAGATCGTCAAAAAAAGGTAAAACTTAATATAATAGTTAATAAAAAAAAAGACAGAGGTAACACACATAAAACATAGCAATGGAAGAGAAAGTGAACTGAGCAATGCCATCCTGTCGCACAGCGATTCCCAGCGCAATGGGACCCCACTCAGCATATGCCGTGACCCACGGTGAGGAAGGCCACGACGCTGGTTTTCAGTGTGCCCCGTGCCGAATGGGAGTCATGTTGGACCAGTGGCGGCGTAGCATGGGTTGGCACCCGGGGCGATCAGCTAACCAGCTAGTTCTAGTAATAGAATTGATAACATTTTGTATTATTTTCAAGAAATGATCAAGGAGGCCCAAATGAGAATCCGGCAGATCAGGGGCATTATAAAGATGCATGACGACCGCATGGCTTTCGATGTAGGGGTTGTTTTGGGTAAGTTCATTATTATCATCATTCTCTTTTTCTTAGCAATCATTAACTTCGAACTCATATGTTCTTCTGGTTAATTTCGTTGCGGGTCCAATGACAAAACTTTCCCCCGGGACAATCTTGACCTTCACTGATGGGTTTTTATTGGCGGTCAAGCTTTTCTGATTTATGAAAATACGCAGTAATATTCCAATTTTATCTTCGAGAGTTGTTAAACTATTTTTTATGATTCTTTGTTCGTTTTATAAGTCTAATGTATTAGTTATAGTATTTTATTTAACTTAATTTGAAGGTAACATCCGCGAGAGGTACCGACGGATGTTCGAGACCTACAGGCAGTTCAATGACAAACACACTATGCGCTCGGAGTTCCATCCGCCCAGTATCGACCTCATGCGAGTGGCGTATTACATCGTGGCTATGCAGCTGGTGCACGAGATAGAGGTAGATCAAGCTAAAGGACGAAGCAAACTCAAATCATCATCGTTTCAGCCTAAAGCCCGGTCTGTGAGCACGTAGATTTGTCCAATGACCCCAAGCTACCTATCCTTATCGCTCGCGCGTAATTATATTGCTGTCGCGAGTCGCGACTGTGCGACGGGCGCCCGCAGTGAGTGTGCTCGCAGACCAGACTATAGGACGTCCGCTGCTGATGCTGAGCGGGAGTCCCTCGTAACCTCTCCGGGTTGATACGTGTGCTATGACCTTTAGACTTATGAAAACAGCGTGGGACGTCCACCTTCGAGGCCTCCCATATAGGAGTTTTATATAAAAGTGCAAGAAATGGAAGGCGCTGGATGCAGGCCCCTACCAACCGGGCGATGTGGAAATCATTGGGGGAGGCCTATGTTCAGCAGTGGACGTCCTGTGGCTGAAATGATGAACGTGAAGCTTACCGTATTTTCGCCATTGTTTTCTCGCGATTTAGATTGTCTTCTAACGCCATCTATGTGTGCACCCTGAGACTAACTCTTAAAATGTTATTGCAGCTTGACATAGACAAGTTGATTCATGTTCTGGAGACCATAGACAACGAGGATTTTAATCCTGACCCACGCTACGACACCGTGACGTCGACGAGGCGGCCGGGTATCAAGATGATTGCTCGAGCAAGAGAAGAAGAAGAAGAAAGTAAGTCTGTTATCAAGAAACAAAACAAGTCTGATGCCGTTTTCACCATCAATCCCTAATTTTTAAGTGACCCCTATGGTAACACATAACAGGATATATTCATAGGGGCCACCTAAAAATTAGGGATTGATGGTGAAAACCGGCATAAGTCTTGCTAAGATAAGTGTGCGCAGTATGGAGTTTCATACAAAGATTATTGACCGCCTCGAGTGGATACGGTTACGATCCCTTTCCGGGTTGATAGATGTGCGACGACCTTTAGTCTTTATTTCGAGACTTGACTCTATTTTCAAGACTAGGACTCGTTAGTCACACGAGTCCGAGTCCTTTCGAGTCTTCTGTCTTTTGAGTCCTTTCGCATTTTACTTAATTCAAAATACAGCTATGGATTTAGACGACTCAGTCTTTGAGTTCCTGCATTGCGCACCCTTTTGAGGTGAAGATATCGAACTCGAGTCGGTGTCTCCTCAAAAGGATGCGCGATACCAGTTCGTAAGAGCATGTCAAGATAAATGCTAAGCTGAGCCTATTGGCGGAGTGGCCCACGATTTTTTTTTCTTGTATATTGATTTTTGTTTATTTCTTGATCTGTAAAAGCGAAAGGTCACTGATTGATTGACTGACTCACTTACTCATCACGAAATCTCAGAAACAACAAGCACCAACAAGTGCTAGGAGTCTCAAATTTTGCATGGTCGTTCCTTTTAGAACATAGGTGCTCACTAATGACGGGATTTTGTAAAATTCAACCCCTAAGGGGGGGTAAAACGGGATCCACGCGTACGAAGTCGCGGGCGGCCGCTAGTTGTTTATAAATGTGCTTACTGTGTCAATATAGTGTTATTCTTTTTTATTCTATTCTTCTATGTTTCTGGTAATTCCAGTACAGCAAATGGCAGACGAGCAAGCTCTGAAACGGAAGATGAGGGAACGGCACCTGATGAGGAGACTGAACCTTGAGAGACAGCACACCACAGCCAAGAGGTTCGAGGGACAGTGGCCTGTAGAAGGCAACTGGGAACTAGGAGCCTATGGGGACATGGGGCTATATGCTGGTCATCAATAAATGCCAAGATTTTCATTGCATTTTTGATTAAAGTCAATATTCCTTCATTTGCATGGGCTATTAAAAATGGTGCTTAAAAATCGGCAAATATTAAAACAAAAAAATAAAAGACTAAAGGTTTCGCCAAACCAACGCGATCACACGCGATCAGCCGGCGTGCAGCGATGGCGACCAGACTTAAATGCATTGATCGCCATTGCTGCACGCCGGCTGATAGCGTTTAATCGCGTTGGTTTTGCCGAACCTTAATAAAAAACTTAAAATTTTACTCTAATGAAGCCTTCACATTTCATGTCTCTTAATCTTTCTGTCCTACCAGCGCTTCGTGACCAACATTTGACAAGTGTTGAGAAGAAGCGCGCGCCGCATCAAACTCAGTCACCACTGTCTGCCGGTTAAAATAAAAACGGTAGTAGGTACATAATGATTCAGGAGCAGTTCTCTATAGTGTACCTTACAAAAATAGGTATCAAGATTCTAATCATTACACCTACTTGACTTGACCTAGGAAGACTCATCGACAGCACCTTTGTTGCAGCTCCAGGAACTTGTCTAAAGCCGCCGACCGCCGTAAAGTACCATCTCTAACTGTTTTCTACAGGCTACACTTCGGAGAATGTGCGAAGGAATTACACGACCTAATTCCACCAGCCCCTTTCCATCACCGGGGAACCAGAATTAGAGTATCATCCCTACATTGTCGAAATTCCACCAGCGGTTAGGGACTTCGGGATTCCAACACAACAGTTAAGGACCATCTGTTCAGAGTGGGGATTCTTGGATGGCTCCCACTTGGAGTGCAAGTGCGGTTTTGTTCCCCAGTCGACGACATGATGTCGTGGCTTCCGTGCCCAAACAACTGCACGCAGGAAGATTTAATGAAGGCTACTGACAACGTCACTTTTGTGGCGGAGTTTTAGGGCTGACGCTGTGTAGGTTTGTTGTCGACACGACAAGAAGAAGTTAGGGACTGGAATTCGCTGCCTGCTGTTGTCTTCTCCGAGCACTATAATCCGGGCTTCTTCAAGGCGAGAGAGATTTAAATGATTTCTCAATGGTGCAAAAATTATGTGCTGTATATCCTGTAGGTATGGTATGGGAGTGCTTTAGGTATGGGAGCGGCACATGACGATGTTTTTGTAACGTCAAACGTCAGCTATCGTATCTACAGGGTGTAGTTTCAGTCAGGCACTGACTGAGTAGAGCGCTAGAGCCTAGAACTTTAAAATGCGTGCTAATAATTACACATAAAAATGTTATCGCTCATGATAAGAGGAAATTAAAATATTTTAGTCTTAGTCTAGAAAAATGTTGTTTACTTACCCACCGTTGTTAATCTTCTCATTAATAATATGTAAGTAAATTTTCAATATTTAGGTAAATTGCCGTGTTTTCTTCAATATCCAATTATACTAGCTAGGTCCATTCATCATCAATAATTTCAGCCACAGGACGTCCACTGCGACTCCCCCAATGATTTCCACAGAGGCCGGTTGGTAGCGGTTGCTACCTTTATGAGATCGTCGGTGCACCTTGTGGGTGGACATCCTACGCTGTGCTTTCTGGTACGTGGCCTCCCATCGGCCGTCAGTTCTGCGTACCTACTATGTACCCTGCCCATTGCCACTTCGGCTTGATAAATCATCAGGTTAAGTATTTCAGCGATTTTAGTTCGTTTACGGATCTCCTCATTTCTGATTCAATCTTGTAAAGAAACACCGAGCATAGCCCTCTCCATAGCACGCTGTGTAACTTTGAGTTTATTTTAAGGCCTAGAGTGACAGGCCACGTTTCCGAGCCGCATATTTTATTTTATTTATTTATTTAAGGATAGTCTAAAGTAGGACTCTCAGACATAGGGACAAAATGGCAGGGAAGATCAGCTCTCTCACGCTATAACATGCATCTCTCTTTTGAATTAAATGGCTATTTCTCATCGCCACGGTTCTCATCGTCACCTTCGTGGCGAATTTTATTTCTAACTTATTTCAACTTTTTGTAAACAAAAATTGTAGCGCTTGATGTGAAGATTGTATTCTCAGTAAATCAGGCAAATAGTGAGTCTCGTTTGGAAGCTTTAACGTTTTGAATTTTTTGATGCCACGAAAGTGATTCTGTACTTCACAGCAATAATTTTTTCAAACTTTACTACTGTAAATGACTCTTAAGTGTTTATAAAACATATATTTTGTCTTATTTTCATAGATAAATAGTAATAACATAATATAAATAGGTACCTACTTAAATACAAGATAAAATTTTACCGATTACGCCACCTACTAAGTTACAAGATTCTACGCAATTGGTTTTAAGGGTGACACTGGTGGCATTCTGAAATGCTAAAGAAGCAAAAAACGGATTATCAGTACCTCAATAAAAAAGAACTCTAACTGATTATCAGTCCCTCAACAAAAATATATTTTTTATTTAGGCCAGAGGGCCTCGTATTTTTGTTATACAACTTTTAAGTCAAACTTCAGATTAAATTTATCTTACAAACAGATACACACACAGTCACATATACAGACATGCATACAGTCACACAGACAAACAGACAACAAAAATACGAGGCCCTTATTTATTTATTGATGTACTGATCTCTACTTACCACGTATAATTTATTAGTTATTAAAATATTGTAAAAACATAAACACCAGTCACTATATTTTAAAATAAACCAAAGCAAGAAATCACTTTCGTGGCCTAAAATCACCTTCGTGTATAAAACACCACGAAGGTGATGCCACGAACGTGACGAAAATTTTAGTTTTTTATGAATTATCCTTAAATTTGAATTTAACGGTTCAAGTTGAATACTACACAAATAAGTCTAACATGTTAAGTTTTCAATGGCAAAGTTTCAATTAAATTGTTTAAATTTTAGAGGTAGAAAATATTGTTCAAGCAAGCGACGGTATGTCTATGGATAATCACAAAAAGTTACGTATTTTTTTCGCGGAGCGACGATCGACCTATCTCACCTCCCCAATGGTCGAAGCGCGACTTACGTTAACCGAATAGAACGCTGTGATTGGTTGCTGGTGTTCGGTTTAACGGCAATCTTGTATTATAACTCAAAATTTTAGGTACCTAAAATCGTGTGACCAACGTATTTCGCTTTCCCAATTCAAAATAATTATAAGAAGATATTTTTTTGACTATTGTGTGGAAAGCATATTTAATTACGATGATTTTAGTATATGCTGCACACAAATTGAATGAAAATTGTGAATGCAGTAACCAAATGTTTCATTGCAACCGAAGGTGTGACACGATGAGAACGCGAAAAATGACCCCGTTTTTTATCGTTTCATGTGATTTTTTCGTATTATTTTTGCTTCTATTACGATAAAATTTATTTTGTATGTAGCTAAATAGATATTTTATCATCTGATTTCAAAGTTATTGTTCTAACTTATACCGTTTATGAACTATTATTGTGTGACCATCAAATTTGAGTGTAAATGAGAAGTACCCAAATATTGCTTTCAGATTTGCCTGTATTATACGCCAAGCACGCGCCGTATGAGTCGAAGGACCGATGGCCACTGGAAATGTATAATTACTACATGGTGATCAGGATCACGAGGTGGATATGTACAGGTAGTAACTGTCTTCGTATTTTCCCTTTGAAGTGTAACTTTTGTATAAAGTAATAGAGTGGCAGTGGGCCGGGCACATAGCTCGCATAGCTGATGGCCGATGAGGTAGAAAAGTTCACAAGTGGCGACCACGAGCCGGAAGACGTAGTGTGGGCAGGCCTCCCACTAGGCTGACCGACGATCTGGTGAAGGTCGCGGGAGGTGCCTGGATGCGGGCGGCGTAGGACCGGTCTTGGTGGAAATCCTTGGGGGAGGCATTTGTCCAGCAGTGGACGTCATTCGGTTTATCAGGTCGTTGAAGGCCACGTACCGGAAAACGTAGCGTGGGACGTCCACCCACAGGGACCGACGACCTGATAAAGGTAGCGAGGAAATGTTTCTTACTATTAATTTACAGATGCAACAATAAAGCTAAGGCAAGCTACAAGAGTGCAAGAAAAGTACAAAAGTATGATCAGCTACGAGTTGGGCAACATCGCTGCTGGAATCCATGAGAAATTCCAACATATGCTGGACACATACCGCAAATACTCCAATATAAAACAACATAGAGACAACTATCACTATATAGAGACGATATTCAACGCTTACTTCATAATAAGTAAGTTCATTAAGCTTTCTATATCATCAACATCATCATTTCTTCACATGTAGTTCTCTGATGAACATAGGCTTCCCGGTTGGCAGCACCCTGCATCCAGCCCCTTCCTGCTACCTTTATTATTCCGAAAAAGTTCTCGAATTGTGACCGCGGGCTAAAAGACGTAGTGTGGGCAGGCCTCCTACTAGGTGAACCGATGATCTGGTGAAGGGAAGTACCTGGATGCGGGCAGCGTAGGACCGGTCTATGTGGAAAACCTTGGGGGAGGTCTTTATCCAGTGCACGTCATTTGGTTGAAAGAAACGATATACTAAAACGATGTGATGTGCTGAAACCAAAAGACGTCTACTAGACAAAGGTCTCCTTCAAGAATTTCTACTACACTGCCCACATCCAAGAGGGAGGGAAGGCCTTCCTACTTTCGAGTTTCTCGGTCTGTAGTGGCCATTAATGGAATAACTACCTTGTTACAGAGGGTGATTTTAATGAAATTCAGATGGAAAGAGACCAATACTACGAGGTCTTGAAACGACATGAGACGAAGCTGCAGGCTACTAAAAAACAAAAGAACAAAATACTGGATATTCTAGGTAAGTAAGTGATCGTGCGAACGACTTGTCGTGCAGGGGAAGGTTGAGGGCAGAAAAGCGCGCGGAAGGTCGCCCATGCGCTGGACTGGCCAGGTCAAAACCGCACTCAATGGTCCACTCCACGAGTGCACGAAAGGCTGCAGTGCGGGAGGAACGGATTGTGAGGCTTGCCACCGGACCGGGAGTGACGACCACGACCACTCTGCCAAGAGTACCGATTAAAAGATGATAGTTGATAGTGCACTAGTAAGGTATATTATCTGTGATAGTAATAAGTTAACGCACGTACCGGAAAACGTAGCGAAAGTCTTCCACCCAGAAGGTGGACCGACAACCTCAAGGTAGCAGGAAAGCGCTGGATTATTATGTGCCCTGCGCCCATGCCCATTGCCACTTCAACCTACTAATCCGTCGTTTATACTTGTAGGGCAGGGTACTCCTGCCCTACAAGTATAAACGACGCCATACCTGCCATGTAGCACGTAACGTAGCATGTAACGTAACCAAACTTCAAGTGAGTACGGCTCGTCCACGGTCATCGCGTATCTGGCTGCGAGCTCCTGAATCCTACTGCGAGCCGCCTTTGTGCTCGCAGTGATACCGCCACTCGGCGGGTCGCTGCGATATCCCTGCGAACCACGCGCGAGCAATTCGCAGCGGGCTCATGCCTATGTACTCACTTGATCTGATACATTACATGCTACACGGCTAGATGAGTACCCTGCTTTCGGATTTCTGTAATGTTACTTATTAACGATGTTTTTATATCCAGCTGATTTGAAGGCGAGAGCCCGTAGATCTCAAAAAGAAGATGGCGGACCGCAGTTCAAGCCACAGAAGAATGATTTGCGTAAAGACTTCAAGAAAGAAGAGGAGTACAAACGGTCACTGAGATACAAGAAGTGGGCTGAGAAGTGGAACAACTTTATACCTGAAGTGGAGGGGGTGGACATTGTGGAGGAAGCAAAGCCTAACATTTAATAGATACAATAAATCTTATTTCTGATTTTATTAAAATTCATCTTCATTTTAGCCATAGGACGTCCACTCCTGAACATAGGCCTCCCCCAATGACTTCCACATCGCACGGTTGGTAGCGGCCTGCATCCAGCGCCTTCCTGCTACCTTTATCAGGTCGTCGGTCCACCTTGTGGGTGGACGTCCAACGCTGCGTTTTCCGGTACGCGGCCTCCATTCCAGAACCTTGCTGCCCCATCGGCCGTCAGTTCTGCGTACTATGTGCCCTGCCCACTGCCACTTCAGCTTGCTAATCCGTCGGGCTATGTTAGCGACTTTAGTTCGTTTACGGATCTCCTCATTTCTGATTCGATCTAGTAAAGAAACACCGAGCTCTACATAGCACGCTGTGCAACTTTGAGCTTCTGTATAAGGCCTATAGTGAGAGGCCACGTTTCCGAGCCATAAGTTAGCCGAATTATTAAAATTACATGATCTAATTCCACCAGCCCCCTTCCATCACCGGGGAACCAGACGCAGGTTAGCGTACCATCCCTACATTGTCGACATTCCACCAGCTCGCACTAAGCGATTCGATAGCTAACACTTTTATAATGCGAACGGCTAGGGACTGGATTTTGTTGGCTGCTGCTTTCTATCCCGAACATTATAATCCAGGCTTTTTCAAGGCGACTGAATAAGCACTTACAGGGCCATGTACCACCCTAGACTGCCTGAAACCGCATGCATCCTAGCCATAACTGTGGGTTTAATTGATCATGCTCATTAAAGAAATATAACTCCCTACGACAGGGATGGCAAACGTTTAGGTTCAAAGTTCCACTTTTCAAAAATTATGTTTGGTGTAGTCATAGATGTGCCATAAAATAACAAGTTACATGTAATGTTTTATGACGAGTATCGTACACAAGAGCGCCACTGGCGAGTGACAGGGCCTTACTCTTCACCATTGGCACCCAAAGTGGGGGGCGCGTCCCCCATGGGAGGCGCAAAGACCTTTAATAGGGGGCGCGGGCCATCTGTGTACTTAAGTATAAAAAACCTGTCCTTTCCCGGGACTCTATCTATGCCAAATTTCATCAAAATCTTTTCAGTGGTTTAGGCGTGAAAGCAAGACAGACAGACGGACAGAGTTACTTTCGCATTTATAATATTAGTAAGATTAGTGAATTTTGTGATTGGTGGCGAGCCCTAAATGTTCGCCGTCCCTGCCCTACAGGATTCGAATCCGCGGTCACAACTGGCGCTATGCTACGCTTCATCTTAATTAAATTTCCAATTATTAACTGATTAAAATTGTAAATTATGTTAAAACTGTTCTAGCGATAGCAGTATATTCAAGTTTGCTCATAATAAAACATGTTTTTAATATTCATGATAGTTATTTCGACATGTTAGAAACAAGAAATGGATTTGAATTTTTATTTTACATTCGCAATATTTGGTGAGACGAAGTACCTACTAACTAACAGGGATGTTATGAATATTCGTAACCGTAACCGAAACCGGTATAATTTAACCTTATCCATAACCGAAACTACATTTATCCATAACACCCCAACTAATGGCTATAATTCTGTGGTAGTACCTACTTACAACGGTGGAATTTTGTAAATGCCACCTGAAAGAAATGTACTGATAAGTACTTACTCTTAAGTCTTAATACCTACTGTAAAATTTCACCCAATGAAAACATTCCTTTATTTTTAATAGTTTTTCCCGAAAATTTAATCGAACCGACTAAATTCTGTTAAAATTACACCCTGTACATTAAGCTTGCACTTTGAACTTGATAAGGTCAGTGATCGAACCGATTTTGTCGCGACAAGTCTTTTAAAAGAGATTTTGTTACACATAATTGAAACTATCGGAAAACGCAGCGTGGGACGTCCACCCACAACGTGGACCGACGACATCATAAAGGTAGCAGGGAAGCGCTGGAGGCAGGCCGCTACCAACCGGGTAACATGGAAAGCATTGGGGGAGGCCTATGTTCAGCAGTGGACGTCCTATGGCTGAGATGATGATGATGATGATGAATTGAAACTTACTGTCCGTGGTGCGTATATTTTCTTATTCTTAAAGGTTACACAGACCTTTGTTTTGAACTCCTCCCATATACATCTAAGACTCCTATATTTTTCTGATTAATTTCGTAATTTTGCGGGTCGAGCTGCAGATCCTAGCTACACAGAAGTTGCAGCGGTGGGAACTAGAGGTGGTCCCGTTTTTTAACAAATTTGATAAATCAAGTGAAAGGAACCATGAAATCTTTTTCTGTGTTGCTACAGTTTTGATATTGTGTTCCTTTAGTTTATAGAACGGAAGCAAACTCTACCATAGACAACAATGCGTTGGCAGTATTAGCGCAGCACGAAGATGACTTCACTCCGGAGACATTCGCTTTTTTTAATGTTAGCAAAAGTGAGTAGTTTATTTATAAAAAAATGATTTTTGCTGTGTGCTTAGGGTTGCCAGGTCCAAAAACACAAAAAGCCGGACTCTGTGCTACATTTGGCCGGACATTTTACCCTAAAAACCGGACAATATGTGACCCATTATTGATTGCACACTAATTCTAGTGTCATACTTAGCTCACGAGTGAGTACTATCATCATCGGTTGCCCTGTCCTGATGCGTGCGCTTGATATTATTCTGTAGCTTGACTTTCAGATGGCATAAAAAGCCTAACAAAAGCCGGACAGGCCGGACAAGACCGTAAAAAGCCAAACATGTCCGGCTAAAGCCGGGCACCTGGCAACCCTATGTGTGCTGTAAGACAGACGCAGACTACAAACTTTTAGGCCGATTTGATTTGATTTTCTTTTGCAGAGTACAAGAAGTTTGACCTCACGGAGTTGGAAGCCCTGAGCAGGCGGTGGGACCTCTGGTATTTCAGGAAGTACATCGAGAGGCAGGTGTACACACAGGAGCTCAACGAGAGGGCGTGCTACTTCATCTGCATGACTTACATCACCGCGTGAGTCATCATCATCATCATTTCAGCCACAGGACGTTCGCTGCTGAAAATGGCCCCCAATGACTTCCACATCGCCCGGTTGGTAGCGGCCTGCATACAGCGCCTTCCTACTACCTTTACGAGATCGTCTGTCCACTCACTATAGCGCACAAATCCACGTGTCGTCCCAACAAAGCCACGTGCCTCTGTGTAGTGACTTGGTTGAAAACGACTCATCATTGCAGCCACAGGACGTCCAATGCTGAACATAGGCCAGCCTAATGATTTCCACATCGCTCGGTTGGTAGCGGCCTGCATCCAGCAGCTTCCTGTTACTCGCTGACATAGCCCGACGGATTAGCAAGCTGAAGTGGCAATGGGCAGGTCACATATAGTACGCAGAACTGACGGCTGATGAGGCAGCAAGGTTCTGGAGTGGAGGCCACGTACTGGAAAACGCAGCGTGTGACGTCCAACCACAAGGTGGACCGGCGTCGTCATAAAGGTAGCAAGTTTTGTAGTCCATGTGATTTACCCAGCATTATCATCAGGTCATTCACATTTAATAACCCGGAAAGGGGTCGTAACCGTATCAACACGAGTTGGTCAGTATTCTTTGTATGAAACTCCATACTGCAACCACAACGCACACTTATCCACACGGTGTTGATCCCTTTCCGAGTTGATATGTCTGCTTATCGTTGATATGCGTCATGACCTTGTCACCACTAGGAGGAGTACGACCATCCTAATTTACTTTATTTTTGTGGGTGTTGTAAGAGACAGGAACAAATAAGAACATCAGGTCTCCCCAACCCGTCTGGCCAGCGTGGGGAGTGTAGGCCAAATAATTTATTTTCATCTGGTAAATTAGATAGGGTCATGCTCCTGCACTGGAGACTACCGCCCGTATTCACAAACAATGCTTGCTTAAGTGAAGCAGCAAATCTAACGCACAGCGTTGAAGAGAGCTTGTGATTGGTTCATGTGTCACTCTGTGCGGCCACGCGCGCTGTGAGACCTCATAGTAATGTGAATACGGGCGTAAAAGACTGACTTAGTTTTATTCATAAGGTCCTTTTCTTCCACAGAATGCCTCAAATCCGAAGGTACTTCGACCTACGCTACTTCTACGTGGAAACAGTGGAGTACGAGATGGGATATGCCATTTACGACATCGTGTACAGATACCAGATGATGCTTGAGATATACCAGATTATGTACAATAAGTACTATATGCAGGTCAGTGGTCTTATGACCCCGTTTACCCAAATTACCCAAAAGTAGAGGATAGACTGGGTACGGTTGTGACAGGGTACAGTTGTGACAGGGTACGGTTGTGACAGGGTACGGTTGTTACAGGGTATTGTTGTGACAGGGTACAGTTAGATTAACACGAATGTTACCGAACAATGCTCGGTAGGTGAGGTGTATTTAAGGGGTACAAATGGAAGGACATGCGGGCGACAAGACAAACAAATAGTTTTCAAATATGCGGGCATTGTGTGTTCTACCTATTGCAATTTTAAAAGGCCCTGAATTTTTCTTTTATTTTTATTAACAACAATCATATCTCTAACTTAACATGTTAATCTAATGCGATAGAGTAGATTAATTATAGTAATTATTATCTAACGTGTGCCGCTATCGCTATAACATAGATTGAACAATGTAACCTTGGTGAATTCAGTCAAAGAACAGCTGAATTTTCAACGGTTTTGAAATGAAATGAAATAGTTTATTCAGTACATAGGCCCTTTCCAGGGCACTTGTACACATCCCAAATATAGCTTGCCCTACGACCACTTCGGAACAACATAAGGGCTGGTGCTGAGAAGAAGTGGCGGAAGAAAATCAGTCACCTTTGTCAGCCTCTTTTTCAATCCAATACAGTAATTTATAACTCACATGATACGTGGTAAGTGCGAGCTAGGCAGGTAAAGTCCACGCACTCTTGTCATTTAAGTAATGTTTTACTTATAGTATTTTCTTCCAGCCATGGCGTTACAAGACACCAATATCGTACATGTTCTATATGTATCGGAACATGTTAGAGTACGGCATGACCATCATACATCTGTGTAACATGCTTCACGAGACCGAGAAGAAATTCCAAGGGAAGGCTCTTGGGCATTGGGACGACTATCCTGATTCAAGTGAGTATTCTTTCATCATCATCATTTCAGCCACAAGACGTCGACTCCTGAACATAGGCCTCCCCCAATGATTTCCACATCGCCTGCATCCAGCGACTTCCTTCTTCCTTTATGAGGTTGTCGGTCCACCTTAAGGGTATCCTGATTCAAGTAAATATATTCTGGCATCATCATCATTTCAGCCACAGGACGTCCACTGCTGAACATAGGCCTCCCCCAATGATTTCCACATCGCCCGGTTGGTAGCGGCTTACATCCAGCCCCTTCCGGCTTCCTTTATAAGGTCGTCGGTCCACCTTAAGGGTGCGCTGCGTTTTCCACTCCAGAACATTGCTGTCTCATCGGCCGTCAGTTCTGCGTTTTTGTTGGATAAGTAAGTAGCCCATGTTTTATCGAGGAAGGCAGTAGCCTATATTTAACATCACTCTACACTAGGCCAATACATAGAGACGGAGCAGTAAAAAAAATGTTGCAAAAACATGGGAAATATTATTCAATTTTACGCCTACGAAGTTGCGGGCACAGCAAGTCCCCCCAGGTTTTCCACAAAGAACGGCTCTGCGCCGCCCGCATCCAGGTTCCTCCCGCGACCTTTACCAGATCGTCGGTACACCTAGTAGGACGCCTGCCCACGCTACGTTTTCCAGCCCGTGGTTGCCACTCGAGAAATTTTCTGCTCCAACGGCCGTCGTCTCTCTACAAGCTATGTGCCCCGCCCACTGCCACTTGATTTTAGCAATTCTGCGAGCTACGAGATGTCGGTCACTTTGGTTCTCCTGCGAACTGCGAATCTCCTCATTTCTCAGGAATTTTATTTAATTATATTTTATTCTCAGACGAGCAGGAGAAGACCAAGGCCTCCAACTTCACAAGAGACAAAAATAAGGCAGTGAGCGACTACGAGAAACGCCGAGAACAAGAAAGAAAGAAGAGACTCAAAGAAAGGAAGAAGGAACGTAAGAAGATTGACATAGGATTCACTCGGACTACTCCACAAAGGCGGCCTAAGAAGAGGTTGGTTGTTCATCATCATCATCATTTCAGCCACAGGATTTTTTTTATGTGACAGGAGCCAAACGAGCAGACGGATCACCTGATGGTAAGTGATTACCGTCGCCCATAGACACCCGCAGACCCAGGGGCGTTACAGGTGCGTTGCCGGCCTTTAACAGGATGTCCACTGCTGAACATAGGCCTCCCCCAATGATTTCCACAATGGCCGGTTGGCCAAACTGGCTGGGTAGCGGCCTGCATCCAGCGCCTACCTGCTACCTTTATGTGGTCGTCTATCCACCTTGTAGATAGTATCTTTTCTATGGTCAAGTGGTAAAAGACCACCTGTTTCAGACCTAAGTAGAGGTCCCGGGGTTTATTCCCAGTAGGAAATTTCGGTAGGAATTCCGGGTAGGTGAACTCGACTGTTACAACTTACGACTCATATAAAATAATATTTTAAAAATTTAAAATTTAAAAATGTTTCATTATCCCCAAATAGCGCCATCTAGCGGGGAGTAGCGGTACCAAAAGCAGTTTTTCTTTTATTGTGAACTTTTTAATTTTTTTCACAAATGAATTATTTACTCGTTCATTTTTTCCTCGAATATTTCAAAGAATTTTTTATTTTGCAGTTTCTGGCCTCTTCACTACGGTTGGTCAATCGAGTATTGGTAAAAATAAAGAATTAAAAACATTTAATCTTTCTTTCAAGTCCTTCACTCGTTATCATAATTAGGTATCGCTATTTAATCACAATATAAAAATAGCATCATTATTTCATTGACTTTCTGATGAATAAGAATAAATTAAATGGGACGAATCCAGAACGAAAAATATATACTTTTTTGAATTCAGTGTTTCGTCCCAGTGGGACGAACGTGTTGTGGGACGAATCACTGAACTAGCCATTAAAAGGGCTTTGCATCACCTAACTTTAACCGTAACTATAACGATAACCGCTGTTTTTTCTATGGAGTTTGACAGACTTTTGACGTTTGTTAAAGTTAAATTGTTGTTAAGTTGTTATTGTTTGTTCTCTCTAGCTGTGCCTTAAATAAATAAATAAATAAAAATGGTGCAACCCACCCTAAAATGCAAGTTGATTTGGTTAATAGACCCGAAAATCGAACCTGCTGGATCCTACTGCATTCATAACCAACTATACTTTGTGCGCCACTACTACGCCATCTATAGTTGATCGATATGTCGCACGCAAATTGTATGATTCCGCATTTTACAAACGGCGTCGTCAATTTACAAACGCTCGCTGTTCTATGAAATGCCGAAGGCAAATTGGCAACTCGTTCAATTGATAAAATTTCGACTATGATTGTTGCAATAGGGTGACCATCATAAAACACACGTTAGACAAATCAGACATAATCTCAGAAATCAGGTAGGTAATTAGGTATCTATTCAAGTAAGACAAACCTAAAATACTTGCTACTCCTAAAGTAATTAAAATATTTTCGTAACAAAAACAACACTAGACTAATTTAAAATATTGACGTACTTAGAGGTAGGTACATAAAAATATGACATTAAATAAGTTTCGATAGTCAGTCGTTTAGATAAGTCTTATATTTTAATTATACCAAGAAGAAGTCTAGAAGACATAACACAATATTTTTTATACCAATATATTCCGCAGCAGTCCTCCGAGCACCAGATTCCATTGTCACCTTAGCGTGTTTTACGTGCCGGATAACCTCAAAAACTATTTTATTTTTCCATAGCTTTTTCACTGCTCCTATTTGTGAATCGTAAAATTTTCTTAACTCACTAAGTATAATAAATGTCTTTTTTTGTGAAAAGTCCTTTGAATACGTACAATTTGCACTGTTTTCTGTATCACAAAACCACTATCCGACGCCATTTTTCTTGTTTTGATTAGCAGCGCCTCGCGTGGTGAGAAAAAGAACTAAATACTTCAATTTGCCGCGGCATTTTGTAAACAGCGATTGAACTGGCTATCAAATGTTTTGGCATATTATAAAGTGCCAAGGCAATTTACATTTTGCCTTCGGCATTTCATAGAACAGCGAGCGTTTGTGAATTGACGACGCCGTTTGTAAAATGCGGAATCATACAATTTGCCTGCGACAGATAGATAACATTATACCCCCGAATTCACAAACATTACTATGAGGTCTCACAGTGCGCGTGGACGCACAGGGTGACGACAGACAGACAGAGCTCTATCTAACGCTGTGCGTTCGATTTGCTGCTTCTCTTAAGAGAAGCAAGCATCGTTTATGCATACATATACTTATGGGGTATAGGTAATTTTTAGTGTCATCGTCAAAAAAAAAATTTTTTATGTAATTTATTTTAGTTTTTTGGTAAACTTTAAATACGTTCTTCCAGTGCCTATGTATAGTAGCACATCGAGCTTCACTTTGTGGACCTTTTGTAATTTTATTAAAGTCTATTTTGCAACCAAAAGTAGCTATAGTTCTGTATTTACTGTTTTGTACAAGCGGATGTTTCTCATTATATTCCTATTATCTATGCCAGAAGTATACTTGACTTCAAATTAACAACCAAGTTGATTCCGCCAAGGTCAACAAGCAGTCAAATACGACGTGATACGTATTTACGTAGCCTATGTACCTACAATGTCCATATTTAGGGATTTTTTAGCTAAAATTTACCTTAAAAAATGAAACTTCTCATGAAACAATTTTGGTAGGTACTACCATTAGGACTATATTTCACCGGGACACCAGTTGGCGGCGCAACCAGTCGCCGGCTACCAACAAAATGTATACAGCTCTATAGAGAGTTACTCACCTGCAGGGCTAAGATGCGCGCCGTGATAAACTGCTATCGCGGCGTTATATCGATTTTGACGTCACTATATCGTTTTATCTACCGGCGCTAACATGGCACCCCGAAAATTATCATGTCATCTGTCAAAATGTGATAGTGATAGATTTGTTTTTTTTTTTGTGATAAACCTGGCAAGCCCTAACATGAAGCGCTAACTATATCATATTTTGACATCACGATAGGATAGGATGTGGTGTTTTTATCGTCCTCGATCCTTGCCCACGATAGCAAGACGATAGGAGATTAACTTTTTTGCAAGCTACTTTAACTCTATTTATTTATCATTTATAATGGTAAATGACATTTTACGACTAATTTGAGGCTAGTAAAATTCAAAGAAAGGAATCTAGCACCTTTGTGATACTTTTACTTCTAGGTGGAGATTGAGTTCTAGTTCAAGAGTTTATCAGTGTGAGGCGAATCTTGCGACAGTTTATAATCGCTAGCTGCAAAATCTTAGTGCTCCCACAGTCCCACCCACATATTAATTATTACATTACCTACCTTGTAAAATAACCATTACTTACCTACTTAGGTAGGCAGTCAACAGTACATCAGACAATACATATTAAGTTGCAAATGTCGTGAGATACCCCACAGTGTTTAGCTTGATTTAAGTACCTACTGTCATCTGTACATAATCTTGTAAAATTATTGAAAATGGGGCGGAATGTGGTGACCGAGCTTCTTGTGTCTACATCAAACAGTGGCAAGGTCATTGTCAGAAATTAGCATTGGGTGGGATGTGTAATCAAACTTGCTATAATAACAATGAGAATAAATGAATTTTACTAATTTTATAACTTGATGGTGATACCATACATACATTCCACATTACTATCAATCTAATTCCTCCATGTGGTCTTTTTTAAGGGCTTTAATGTGACAGGATGATAATCTTGTACAATTTATTCCATTATAATAAATTCATCATCATCTCAGCCATAGGACGTCCACTGCTGAACTTAGGCCTCCCCCAATGCTTTCCATGTTGCCCGATGGGGCAGCAAGGTTCTGGGGTGGAGGCCGGGTACCGGAATACGCAGCGTGGGACGTCCACCCACAAGGTGGACCGACGACATCATAATGGTAGCAGAAAGGCGCTGGACGCAGGCAATAAATTCATTATTGCAGTGTAATTTCAAAATAATTCAACCATTATTTACAAAATCTTTATTTGGAAAACTTTTGTTTTACAATAGCTATTTATAATTTCAAATACAAACAGAATTCCATGAATTGGTTAGCCTAGCCAGTACCCTTGAAGTTTTTCTTGCTGATTGTTATTGTAAATTTTCATGATAGTGAGCAAGACTTGATTATGTCTGCTTTAGAATGAAATAATCACTCATAATCCCACACTTCTTCATCCACTGTCTGAAAAAAGAAAGAATATTATTTAAACACAATTATAAATATTACAATTACATAAACAGTTCATAAATAGAAACATTTACTTAATCCTATTTGTATTTTAAGTTTACATACAAAATATTGATCACAGTATTATTACACGGTGAAAGAACTATGTGAAATAAATATAGGAAAGAAGGTGAAAGCTTATTTGTAGGAATAAAGATATTTTTCCTTTTCTCCGGTGCTGTTACTTATGAAAATCAAGATCTGCGGAGTATAGCTAATATTTTAGACTTTAGGTACTTACTTTGCTACTTATGAGTGTAACTTTATTTCTCAAATCTCAATAAACTTTCTGACTGCTTCATGTAAGTTGAATAATTACTGTAAACCTCGCATTATGGGGTAGGTAGTGGAGTTCGGTTATTCTGTTAATTTTGAAGACTTCATTCTTTAATACTATCGGTATGATTAGGAATTCTTCATTGTTTTTCTTTAACTTGGTTATCTCTTCGTTTGATATTTTCCGTACTTTAGAAATATTAAAAATAAGACTGGAAACATAAAAATACAATTTTAAAAACACAAACAAATACAATCAAGCAGTCATGTAATGTCAACAAAATTGACATAACTTTTTTTTAATGACGTTCTCACTGCTTTAAGATATGTGTTTTTAGCCGAATTAGTAGCAGAAATGAACGAGATTGAACGAATGAGCTAAAATATTTCAAGGTTGGCCAACATAATAACGCAATTTTTTCTTAATATGGCAACAATTCGGTTATCACGCGATAGCGGTCGATAGACTTTTCTATCGATGGTTCCATGTTAGGGAAAATGATAAAATTATCTACGTGATCGAAAATTGTCTTATCATATCATGTCATTGTCGATGCGCGCATCTTAGGCCTACTGGTGTCCGTTTGGTTGCGCAAAGCTGCATACATTTTGTTGGTAGCGGCGACTGGTTGCGCCGCCATGGTTTCCCGGTGAAATATAGCCCTTAAAATGGCTCAAACATAATTTACAATTATCTTAATTAATAAAAGAGAATGCCCAAGCGCATTAAGTTCGCCTTATGCACCAATTAAATGGCTATAAACATTAAATAATAAATTAATTAAGAAGTGGTAGGGTAAGCAAGCCATATTTGGGACGTGTACAAGTGCCCTGAAAATGGCTTAAGTCTTGAATAATTTTTTTGAATTTGAAAAAAAAATCCACAAAAAAAGTTTCGCTAGCTCAGGCGTGAATTGAGTAAATTCAAATTAAGATCGTATTGAGTTACACAAAATTATTATTAAATCTTACAATAATG